TTTGGGAGGCTTAAGGGATAAAATTAATGTTGAGAAGACTAAGTTTTTAGACCTAAGGGATAGTACAAATGGGGATGAGGTGGTAGGGGGTGGTGGAAGGTGGTGGATCAACTAATGATATGTGGGATAATTTGTGAGAAAAAACACGGGTGGCTCAAGAGGTGAATTCGGTGCGAATAGTGGATGGAGTATTGAAAAGACTTGGTGGTTTGAGGGCGGCGCAACTAACGCTGCATCAAAGAGTAATAGTGACGAACGTGCTATTGTACACAAGTTATGGCATGTCGTTTTTCATGTACCCGCTGATGAGACGTGAGGGGAAACGTTTACAACATGGGGTTTTTAGGTTTATATGGGGAATCGGGCCGAATGGTTAAGTAGAGCGGTGTTAACACTTCCCGGTCAGTCGGGGAGGGCTGGGACTTTTACCTCTGGAAAAAAAGGATGATGAGCGTGTACCTAAAAAAAGTTATATAAGGGAGGGGGGCAGTAGGGGAGGTGGACTTGTGAGAGTACGTATGGATATGCAACGGTGGTGGGGGGGGTAGGGATTTAATAGTTGGTGAGGCCATGTTGAGGTTATTAATGACAGTGAGGGATCCGTCGTGTGTTAAAATTGCGGGTCCTCGAAGGAGTGGAAGGTAGGGCAGTGGTGGCTGCTGTTGAAAAGGGGGATACCCTATGTATGCGTGGAATGAAATATAGACGCGTCTAAAACAATTACGTGTAAAACCGGGTGTTCGGGAGGTAATGTTTTGATTTTTAACATGGGGTTTTGCCGTCTGGGGTTGTCCTATTCAGTAGGAGGATAAGGAGGGAGGGGAATGTAGAGCGGTGAAACATGGAGACAATTTTTTTATGCAGATATTTTTGTGACTGTATAGAAGTTGTGCGGGTCTGGTTAGGAAAGGTGTTTAGGTTAGTGGTGGGGGAAGGTTGCAGGTGTTGCGGGCTTTAAGTTTGGATATAGGTGGGGTGAGTAAGATGGTGGAGAATGCAGTGGCGTATTTGGTCAAGGATTTATATATGTCATTTGGGGCCCTGAGGGAGGTGGGCGTGGATGAGAGGATAAAGGTGTTAGCTGCTACATTTTACAGAACTAAGTGTCGTAATAGGGAAATTTATGGAGGGAGTTGGGAGACTGCTTTTACTGAGGGCTATCGGGTTTTAGGTTGAGGGATTTATGGGATTTACGTGCAATGTAAGGGGGGCGCGGCGGGCTGGCTTCCCGATAAGGACAGTGTGAAAGGGTTTAAAAGTGGAAGAGAATGAATATAGTACTGAAACATAAGTGCCTTTGACTGTGTGATGAGCGGGTTGTGTGTTTGTGAACGATACAAGTTCTTCAATTTAATTATTAATTATGTAATTGACAAAGGACGACAGATGTAATGTGATGGAATATTATATATCTGAAACGAAATTATTGGTATGTGTGTAATGAAATGACAATGTGGGTGCACTGTGTGAATGCAAAATATATATATACATGTATATATATATACATATATATGTACATTGCAGAGTCACTTGTTTGCACAGAACTGCTTAATGCCTCAAATGACGTAGTGGAAGTTTTAGCAGTAAAGGTCGAGAACCAAAACCTAGTCATTGTGGTAGTCTACAAGCCTCCGGATGCAACATCCCAGCAATTCCAGGAACAGCTGTTAAAAATTGACCACTGTCTGGAAAATCTTCCAGCTCTGCACCCAAACTTGCTCTGGGGTTTCAACTTAAGGCACCTAAAATGGGGGAATATAGCAAATAAATTGTTGCAGTAATAACACCAGGGGCAGCTTGATGAAAACTCACACTCACACGAGCTTTTAAATCTCTGCACAAATTCAATTTAAACCAGCGAATAATAGAGCCTACTAGACTGGAGAATACACTAGACCTCATCTTCACTAACAATGATGATCTGATAAGAAATGTCACCATATCAAAAACAATATACTCAGATCACAACATAATTGAGGTTCAGACATGTATGCGTGGAGCCCCAGACCGACAAAATGAGACTAGTCACGAGGGGGCATTCACCAAATTCAACTTCAATAACAAAAACATAAAGTGGGACCAAGTAAACCCAAATCCTAACCGATATAAGCTGGGAAATATTTCTAAGCAACACAGACCCCAAAATTATGCCTAGAACAGATTAACTCGGTGGCACTCGAAAGTATGCACAAGGGTTATTCCTCTAGAAAAAGGAGTAGATGTAAAATAGAAAAAAGACAGGCTCCCTTTACAGGGGACGGAAAAGAATAACAGAGCGGCTAAAAGAGGTCAATATATCTGAAATGCGCAGGGGGACACTGTCAGAGAATAGCAAGCATCGAACTTAAGCTAAAAGAATCCTTTAGGGGTCAGGAATTGCGGGAAGAACTAAAAGCCATAAATGAAATCGAAAGAAACCCAAAGTATTTCTTCTCCTATGCCCAAATCAAATCGAGAACAACGTCCAGTATTGGGCCCTACTTAAACAAGATGGGTCCTACACAGATGACAGCAAGGAAATGAGTGAGCTACTCAAGTCCCAATATGACTCAGTTTTTAGCAAGCCGCTAAACCAGACTGAGAGTCGAAGATCAAATGAATTTTTTATGAGAGAGCCACAAAATTTGATTAACACAAGCCTATCCGATGTTATCCTGACGCCAAATGACTTCGAACAGGCGATAAATGACATGCCCATGCACTCTGCCCCAGGGCCAGACTCATGGAACTCTGTGTTCATCAAGAACTGCAAGAAGCCCCTATCACGAGCCTTTTCCATCCTAGGGAAAGGGGAGCTTTGGACACGGGGGTCGTCCCTCAGTTACAAAAAACAACAGACATAGCCCCACTCCACAAAGGGGGCAGTAAAGCAACAGCAAAGAACTACAGACCTGTTTTCTTATTACATATTGTTTTTTAATGGGAGCTCTATAGAGCCCGTAGGTTTAGGTTGGACATATAAACACAAATGCAGTATAATGTGATCCTTTATTGACAACGTTTCACCCACACAGTGGGCTTTTTCAAGTCACACACAGATCCGTGTGTGACTTGAAAAAGCCCACTGTGTGGGTGAAACGTTGTCAATAAAGGATCACATTATACTGCATTTGTGTTTATATGTCCATTGTGTCGGTATTTTATACCATTTATTTCCAGGTTTAGGTTACCGTTGAATTGATATATATTATAGGGTAATTGATGGATGCCATAGGATTAGGCTTTTGTTTGTTTCACTGGTTGTGTTGTAAAGTGTATGCAACATATGTATATATTTATACCTTCCTCGAGAAGGTGATATGTTTGGGTGTTTAGTAGATATACGTTGTACATGAATCATGTAGAATTGATTTTTATATTATATCAATACATTGAGTTATACTGAACGTATCATGTTGTTCAATATGGAATATGAATAATGTGAGGATCTCACCTTCAAGGACCATAACATTGTATCAATCGCATCTGCTAGAAAAATGACAGGATGGATAATGAGAACCTTCAAAACTAGGGAGGCCAAGCCCATGATGACACTCTTCAGGTCACTTGTTCTATCTAGGCTGGAATATTGCTGCACACGAACAGCACCTTTCAAGGCAGGTGAAATTGCTGACCTAGAAAATGTACAGAGAACCTTCACGGCGCGCATAACGGAGATAAAACACCTCGATTACTGGGAGCGCTTGAGGTTCCTGAACCTGTATTCGCTGGAACGCAGGCGGGAGAGATACATGATTATATACACCTGGAAAATCCTAGAGGGACTAGTACCGAACGTTGACCCCCGAAACTCTCTCCAGGTAAACTCCAGGAACTTGCACACGAAAATCACTCACTACGAAAGCAAAAGACTTGGCAGACGATGCACTATCCCCCCAATGAAAAGCAGGGGTGTCACTAGCATGTTAAGAGACCATACAATAAGTGTCAGGGGCCCGAGACTGTTCAACTGCTCCCCAGCATACATAGGGGGGTTACCAACAGACCCCTGGCAGTCTTCAAGCTGGCACTGGACAAGCACCTAAAGTCGGTTCCTGACCAGCCGGGCTGTGGCTCGTACGTTGGTTTGCGTGCAGCCAGCAGTAACAGCCTGGTTGATCAGGCTCTGATCCACCAGGAGGCCTGGTCACAGACCGGGCCGCGGGGGCGTTGACCCCCGGAACTCTCTCCAGGTAAACTCCAGGTGGCTTGACACGCAAGAAGGGGGGAGGGGGTAGTGTTTTCAGAATGTAAGGTGTACATTCCGTGGCAGGATGTACAATCAGGAATTAGATGTACTTGCTAAGGAATCTTTAGGTTAGATTTAGTGTTCCAGGCATAATGTCATTACTTCAAGGATTGGAATGGTCATTGTTTACTGTACAGATTTGTGTATTTCAGATGTAATATGTTAATTGGAAAGTATATGTATTATGCAGAATTTTTCACCACTGTTTTCACTATGTAATTTGTCGTTTACATGTACTATATATGTCTTTTAAATAAAATAAAAAAAAAATGGTGCAGTGTATGGCCCTTTCTCTGTCCACAAACTTTGCAATTTTTTTTGTCTTTGACACCTTGCATGCTTTGTGAGAGGGTATCCATAAAACTTGATTATAATCCCCATAATTTGTGGGTAACTGTGCCTAGCTTTATGCTATATTCAAGCTATTTAGAGCAAATTTTAAAGAAAGTCATTTACAATTAAATTGTCCGAAGTCGTAAGTAAGGAATTTTATTTAGGCACAGGTAGCCCTTGTGGTTTAGCGCTTCTTTATTATAATAATTAAGCCTACCCATAATGCTCTGCATACAATGGGCTTTTGGCATGTACACCCAATCACTATTTTTTTTGTACAACTGTATCATGTCCAAATAAATTAGGCACAATACACATAAGTACATTACATAGCGTAAATTACCTAGGATAACCGAGAGAGTCAGTGACATTTCCATTGGTAACTTTCGTTCCCTTTCCTGTCATCGCCTAAACTTTGGGCAGTACATCCCCGAACACTGTACTTGTAAGTTACACTGACTTTTGGGTTATGTTTATATATACTACACTAACAAGCATATGTGAGATACAACATCTGGAAGCAGGATTCCACACGGCGGCATAGTCAGTAGCCCTTAAAACACCCAACAAGACCTAGTGTAAGTAAGTTTATTCAGGTATACACAAATAGTTACATAGAATTATTATACATAGCAGCATATGTGTAGAGAACCTGAGATAACCCAAAAAAGTCAGACAGAGTGACTTATTTCCATTGGGGTCCTTTTACCTTATTATAATATAAAGGTTATAATATTTTCTTATTATTCTATAATGAAGATAACATCTTATAAAAAAACAAAACAATTATTTCTGTGAAGTAGAGTACAGTATATTATACAATTAGGGTAGTTGACATATATAAACTAATTTTTAGAAAGCCTCTTGTAATGCAAGACATTTCGGTTATATGTAATGCAAAACATTATTATTATTATTATAATCAAGGGGGAAGCGCTAAACCCGGAGGATTATACAGCGCCTGGGGGGGATGTGGAAGGCATTCAGGCTTAATTCGGGGAACTGGAGCACAGATCCAATTCCCTAAATCAAGAGCCCCTCACCAACATCAAGGAACCTTCCTTGAGGGGTAATGCAAAACAGAAAGTAATGCCTGAGTTTTGAGAGACAGATCGCGGGTTCTAACCCTGCCTGTGGTATGATTTGTTTGCAATCGTGTCATTACGATTTCACGAGTCAACGTATGTACTAATAGGAGTCAATAGTCACATACCAGCAGTTGCTGTATTGAAATAAGTAAATTTGTCTGACTTTTTTTGTTGTTATCCTTGGTAATTTAAACATGTTACAATGTATGATAATTGTACATATGTTGGCCTGTACCTAAATAAACTTAGTGACTATTATGTTGAATGAAAAATGCATATACATAAAATTACTTAAGTAAGAGACAGACACTTAAGACTTAAAATAGAAATTTCCATAAATCACGCTTGACTTTTTGCTTTATCCTGTTATATACTGTGCTACTAACAAGTATCTGCAGTATATGAACCTGCAACGTTGGGATACTGTATGAGGATACTGTTTGCCCACTAGGGGATTTATCAGAGTATTCAGTGAACAATTAAGGCCACTGGTGGGCAAATTGTGTTCTCATAAAAATATCTATGTTGCACATGTCTCATTTACATGGATGAGTTATCCTAGTTTTATATCTACATACCTGGTAGTTTTCTGTCAATGCCTGCCTATAATTTGTTTTTGTAACAACCATTGTATAACAATGCAAGAGTCTAGAAATCAAATATAGTGAGCCTAAATGAAGCTTACCTTATATTCACTGAGGGACCAGGGTTTGATCTCTGGACGAGTGGAAATGTTGGACATATTTCCATATTACTAAAGCCCTGTTCACCTGATAGCAAGTAGGTACCCGGGTGTTAGCCAGTGCTGGTGTTCATTGTATCCAAAGGAAGAAATTAAAGGACCCCATTGGAAGTAAACCTGACACTCTGATGACCGTGACTTTATTGGTTTATCCTGGGGTTATTAACCTTCTGGGATAATAATTCAAATAGTTTTTTATGCCAAATATTAAGCATTCAGACTATTATTGGGAAAAAAATTACTAGTTAAACAAGTCCTTCAGACCCCATTTAACAATATAAATTGAGATTTACCCATCACTAATACTAAATTCTGCCCATATCATTCCCTGGACCTCTCTCCCTCTTACCCTCTTCTCTCTTTTTCTCCCTCTGTCATTTAGTACTGAATGACCTTTATGGATTTAGTGATTTATATGATTATAGAAATGATTTTGTTCAATAGCAGACTTGTAGCAGTTCAGTGGTCAGCCCTTAGCAGCTGTGTGGGCATCTCATAAGTTTTTGTGATCAATATACATGTATAACTCTTCTTCCATCATTCCATAGCAGTTCTGGTTCCAAAAGTGTGGAACATGAGCTGTTTTTACTTTTTTCATAAAACATAAGAATTTGGGGGTTGGTCTTACTCAGCAAACATCATAGGTCACTCTTGTTAGCAATCAGCCTGTTTTTGGCTTTAGTTGTGATTACTACTTAGGCCAAAAATGCACACTGTAAAAATTTGTGGGCTTTTTGTTTCTTGTCCTTTTTTTTTTTTTTTTTTTTTTTTAAAGTTTATCATACTTACAACTTCATTCATACAGCATTTTGGCATCTCCATTCCATCATAACTCCAGTCAATATGTGTACATTTCTAATATCCTGAAGCTGCCAGAACAAAATACTGTAATTTTATTGTCTCCATAGGCAGTTCACAGCCTCCAAAACTATTGAAGAAACACTACTTTAGACGCACTGTAACTTGTTAAACAATAGTTTAATTTTTTAGAATGAGTTGTGCAGGCAGCCACTGGGGAGAGGAACATGAGTCTCAGCGTAGTGGAAGTGATGAATGGGGTCTCAGTAACTCTGACATGGAAGATTTACTCACCCCTCAGCCACCGGCACCAACATCACCAGTTCTTCATCAGCCCTCACAGGAAGAAACGCCTTCTTTTCAGATGTAAGTAATTTGCATTGATGATCTGCCACTTTTAGTTTTATTATGAATTTAAGGCTATGCCCATCATTACGATCAAGGCTGTGGCCATCTTTGTGATCAAGGCTGTGGCCATCTTTGTGATCAAGGCTGTGCCTGTCTTTTTGATCAAGGCTGTGCCTGTCTTTTTGATCAAAGTTGTCAACTTATCACAGGAAAAATAAGTAACCAACACCTACAATATAAGTATGTACTGTAATTGACAGACTGTAGTAAAGAAACCTTAATAGAGCCAAAAAAGAAATTGAAGCATCTCAAACTTTTCCCATAATTTTAAGAAATGATGTTATTATGGTCTATAATTTTATTTAAAAAAAAAGTGTTCAGTTACAAATAAGTACAGTATCTTTATACACTACACTTCATGATTAGAAAATTATCATCTTTGTTTTGCTCTAATTCTCATAACAAAATTACATATTACAGACAGTATTTTAAGCTTTACTTAATAATATTAATGGAAAACTTTCCCTTTGAAATGGGAAAGACTCAGTCCCCCATTGGCAACTGTCTAGCTGATTTTCATTGTAGTTCTTTAATCTTGTCCTCCACAGTGTGACCCATAACAGTAAGCTAACACCTAGGTACATACTTATTACTAGGTGAACAGGGGCAGCAGGTGTAAGGAAACATCCTCAACATTTCACCCATACCAGGGACTGATCCTGGACCCTCAGTGTGTGAGCTGAGGATGCTACCCACCAAGGCTCGAACACATTTTAAGTGAAATACAATGGTTACTTTTAAATTTAAGGGTTATGTGCCAAACAAAAATAAAATGGGCACCAAGAAAAAGTATGAAAAATCAAAGCCTTCAATACAGTTTTGTGTAATAGAATCGCATGGATTATGAAATGATTAATTTTAGGGTTTGAGAACTGCATTTTAGTAATAATGCAGTTCAAGTACACAGGCTTGCTTGTGCAGTCCAGTAGAGCTAATGCATGTTACCTTGATACTCTTGCATTTAACTTGATGTTGTGAGAGAAAGTATACTGCTTCTATTGTACATGACAAAAATTTTACTTAAAGAATCATATCACACTAGTCAATGACATCCATCATAGATCTTTTGAATTCTGTAGATTTTATGTACTTTCAAAACTCATACTAAAAACAAAAAATAGAACAGTGCCCCTTCATCTGTGTTTAGTATACGTAAATTGTTCTTAGTCCCATTTTATTAGATTTTTAGCTCTAATGTGTAATTTTTATTACAGACTTCCTGCAGAGTTTTGCCGAACAGACCCAATGGTTTTGCAGACAATTCGCCTCTTGCAGTACCAAAGACAAGTTGCTCAGCTATTAAATAGAGCACAGGCAAAGATATATTTGTTTACCTTAGAGTTTAATGTGGTGTTCACTTTGTGTACATCACTTGTGCTTTGTTCCTGCTTGAATCTTTCCTCCTCTGTCTTAACCCTTTCAGGGTCCAGAGGCCAAATTTCAAAGTGTGCACCAGTGTCCAAGAATTTTCAAAAAATAATTGTTATTTTTTTCTTATGAAATGGTAGAAAATCTTTTTCTGAAGGTAATAAAACAAAAACTACGAAATTTGATGGAAAATTGACGAAATTATGCTCTTGCGAATTTTGATGTGTCAGGGATATTTATGCATTGGCGATTTTGCGGACTTTAACTTCCATTTTAGGTCAGTTACATTATTCCAATTGACCAAATTCTTAGCTATTTCACTAGTATTACTTATATTCTATCGATTGAGCACAAGAAATCGCCAAGTCAACTGTTTCAACTACAAAATAAAGTGATCGGAAATTGGTAATTTGGCCAATTTAATGCAAAGTTCAAAATATTCCAGTTTCAAAATAGGGTCCAGAATAAACAATGCAGGCATTCCTGGCACTAAACTAACATTTCCTCTTTTCATTAGTTACATTTTCAGGCTTTACAAATGAATTCCATTTTGATTTTTTATTCACATAATGAATTTTTATTCAAACCAAAAAATAGAAGATTTACTGTTATGCAATATTGTAATAATTGTATAAATAATTTCAACACATTTGTGAACGTATATTAGACCCACCAGCTGGTGTGTATTTAATGTGTGAGGTCATTTGTTTACTCTTGAACATTGGCTAAAATTAAGCATTTCTGCTACTTTGAGCTCAGTTTTAAGCCATTTCCAGTACTAAACAAATCAAAATCATCTCTATTTCTGTAATATATCTTCCATTCTATCAAATGAGACCAAGAAATCACAAATACAACTACAAAAACATACGATAAAACACTGCAAAGTCACTGTTTTAATCGAAAATTAAGGTCTTTCTTTTTTTTCCTCTCATTATGCACTGTGTGCTGCAGGATTTGTTTTATGTGGTGCACACATACCACATAGATGTAGTCTCTCATATCTAGGCCCAAATTTACCACTCATAGCTTATCAGAGTGAGCTGAGCTCATGGCATAGATCTACGGTTTGGGCCCTCAACGTAAAGCTGTAGATCTACGGCACGGACCCGGAAAGGGTTAATATATACATGTATCTTGTCATTCTACCTTTATACTGTCATTCTACTTATTTAGTATGGAGTTCTCTGATTATGTTATAATGTTAGTTGTAATAATTTATTTGCAAGCCTTTCAACCATTATTCTTAAAAATCTTATTAGAGCTAGCTGGCTGAGTGGTTGGTGCACTGGCCTTAGAGCTTTAGGATTCACCTGCCATGAGTTAAATCACATGTTTCTGTTCATAACTTTCTATAAATCTGTTTCCTCTTTTCCCATGCCCTAGTTGTTATATTATTTCTTCCTCCATTGTCCACTGTTTGCATTGTATTTCACCCAAATATTAAAATTCTATATCTCTCTGTGCTTCACCTTGTATTTTAGTCTTAAGTTTCCATCAGATGTTTATCATGTTTATTTTACAAGGTAAAAGAAACTCACAATATCACTCTTCTTATTGGCATTTAATCTTAATTTCCTTTAGTTGTACTCTGTATGTCTTTGGTAACTGTCTGCATATTTTCTTAGAGCATTCATCCATTTTGTTAGCCAATTTATTTAAAGCTGTTTTATGTAATGTTCCTTTTGAGAGTTTATGAAATTTGAAAATATTATGAAATTTAACAATGTGGAAATAACCCCTCTGTATACATATATATATATATACTTTTTTTTTTTTTTTTTTTTTTGAAATACATACTGTAATTCACAAGGGTATTGTGAAACATGTTGCATATTATTTTGACAGAGCATTGGTATGGATGGAGGTGGTCTTCCTTCCTGCCCTCCACCTCCTGAAGACCCACCCCTAGAACGTAAAACCACCAAGCCACATTTCTTAAATTTTATACCACCTGAGCATACGTGAGTTGCAGTGTTGGTTGTTTACACATTGCTCAAGCTGTGTTCACTTTCACGTGGAAAACCAGCTCCTCATGAAAGTATTGTACAGTGGTACCTTGACTTACGAGTTTAATTCATTCCATAACCGAGCTCGTAACTCAGTTTGCTCGTAAATCAAATCAATTTTCCCCATTGGAATTAATTGAAATGCCATTAATTCATTCCAGCCACCCCAAAAAGCCTGTCTCTGCTTATGTGTTTCTGTCTTCCTGTCTCTCTACTTGTCTCTGTCTCAGAGAGAGAGCTGCTCATGTACCAACAGGTATTACACATGATGCAGAGTTGTCATGTCTGATTTCTGAACAAGTGAAAATGTGTATTACTTGTAAGTCATGCTTATTATGCCTTATATCTACAAGCATAGTATAGCACTTTGTCTGGATTTTTTGGGGTTATCCTAGGTAATTTATGCTATGTATAACTATTTGTGTACCTGTGAGATAGAGACAGGGATAGACAGAGATACACACAGACAGACAGAAGAAGATAAAGACAGCCAAAACAAATCAGCCAGCCAGCTGGCTACCCAACCAGCCGGCCTACCAAACATGTATTACACATGTTCCAGAATTTTCTCTTTGCTTAGGGCATACATTATAGAACATTCTGGCAGGATGACATTACCAGTGGTATCAAAATTGAAAGGATGTTACACATTGGTTATTATTGAGGTTTTTTATATTTCCTCGGTATCTCCTGCAAGTGGCGGCATATCTGAAGCTTGCTCATAACTTGAATTTTGGCTCACAACTCGAAGCTAAAAATCAACCGAGCAACGGCTCATAACTCACAAAACTCATAAGTCGAGGCACTTGTAAGTCAAGGTACCACTGTATGTGCTATCATCATTGTTTCTGAGAAGTACTAATGCAAAATCTTAAATCACAAATATTTCTGATTACTCATACTTTAACTGAATGCATTTGAATCATATGCATAAATAGGTGTATGTGAGTCTTTTATGTGATCATGACAATGTAAACTTTATAATTTTTTCCTCTTAAACTACAGTATATAAGGCTATACAGCTGATAAATATTGGCCAAAAATGTATGTAAAGTACTTTATCTATTGAATCCACATGTATAGCTCAGTGTTAGTGCATAATTTTTTCTCTGAACATTAGCAAATTTATGTATTTACATATTTCTAGCCATGGGAACAGTAGCAAATTTATGTAATGACATATTTCTAGCCATAGGAACAGAGCTAAACTTTTAATCAATTTTTTAGTAGTTCGAGTATTGTAAAGATTTTAAAGTACTCACTTGTTCTAGCACTTGAGCTACCTCCTTATAAACCATTTATGTGAACTCTTGCTCAGCAAGGAAAAACTGTTATTTTTTAAGAACCTCTCTTATTTTAGTTTATAATTATGGCCTCTTGTTCTGTGAGTTGATGGGGTTAAGAAGTCTTTGTCAGTTCTTTGGTATCCTTTTAGTATCATGAATTATGTCTCCTTTTTTACCTCCTGTCAGCCAAAGATGGCATATTCAGTGCCTTCATTGAAGGCCCTTTGTCTTTTTTTTTTTTATCTCGTACGTATTTCTAATTTTGGGAACCATTTTATAGTTTCGTGGTTTTTAGGTATGGGCACCACACTACTGTTGGATATTTAAATTTTAGTGTACCATATGAGGCACTGAGAAGAAAACCAATGAACTACCCAGTGGGTGAGGAGTGCATTGCAAGTGAAAAATTGTGTTTTCTATACAAAAAATTTTATCACCCTTTAACCCTTAAACTGTCCAAACGTAGATCTACGTTTTTTCAACATTTGAAAGTATGTAAAAAAACAGATCTTTCTCTTTTTTTTACACTTGAAAACGTGTAAAAAAGCTTTGATCTACTTTTTTTTTTTTTTTTTTTATTGAAAATATGTAAAAAAACATAGATCTACTTTTGGAGCACTACGCATGTGAATGTAGATCTGTTTGGACAGTTTAAGGGTTAAAATGAGACCAGTTTGATTAAAATCGTTTACCTAGATATTGTTGCGAACTTCTTGCAGACATTTGTAGGCAATCTTTTCAAAAAGTTACATTTGATGAGTTTGTTTTTGTTGTAAAGGTTTGGAGGTGATTTTTGCAAGAGTGATGTTCGGTGAAGTCGTTGCTTTTTTTCAGCGCTTCATATGTTATGAACTTCTTTTCAGCATTTCCTCCATCAGTATATTTATGGTAAGTACAAGGTTATTTTAAAGTTGTCCAAGGTCACATAAAAAAGACTCACTACTATACTGGGACCACCTTGAAGTAGAGTACAGTACAGTGGAACCCCGAATAACGGCACTGTGTTTATTGGCCGAATCATATTTAGGCTGGTTTTTGGGCGGAAATTTTGCTCCTTATTTCGGCTGGTGCCTCGCAAATCAGCCATATTATGTGCATCAGCCCGCCTCCCACCAGGATGCCATGTGTAGGCGAGTCAGTCTCCATGTGTCTCGGTGAATGAGCATATACACTACACATTCATCCAAACATTTCTTTAAAATCCGTTGGTTTTTGTTCTTGTTTATTAACCCCTTGACTGTCGCAACCCCCAGTCCTGAAGTGTCTCCTGGTGTCGCAAAATTTAAAAAAAAAATTATTTTTTCTTATGAAATAATAGAGAATCTTTTCCCGATTGTAATGACACCAAAAACACGAAATTTGATGGAAAACTGACGGAATTACGCTCTCGCAAATTTAGCGACCTCGGCAATATTTACAAACCGGCGTTTTCGCCCACTTTGAGCCCTATTTTCGACTAATTCCATTGTTCCAGTCGACCAAACTCATAGCTATTTCTTTAGAACTCCATTTTTTCTATCGATTGAGTACAAGAAACTGCCCATTTACTGATTTCAACTACCCAATAACATGGTCAGAAATTTGCAATTTGGCCAATTTCACGAAAATTAAAAAATATGACAATTTCAAAATAAGGTCCAGAATGAACAATGCAGAGATTCCTGACTCTAAAATAACATTTTCTTTGTTCATCAGTCACGTCTCCAAGCCCCTCTGATATTACTCTTGCTTTCTATTTTGAATTTTTATTCAAACAAAAAATAGAAGATTTACTGTTATGCAGACTACTGCAATACTGTAATAATTGTATAAATAACATCAACCCATTCATGACTGCATATTAGAATGGCTAGTTGGATATTTATTGGACAATGACATCATTTTTTACTTTTGAACATCGGCAAAAATCAAACATTTCCCCTACTTTGAGCTCCATTTCCAGGTTCTTTTTATAGTAAAATCAATCAAAATCACCTCTATTTCTGTAATATGTTTTCCATTCTATCAAATGAGACCAAGAAAACGAGAATACAACCATAAATACTATACGAAAATAGACCACAAAGTCGGCATTTTAATTAAAAAAATGGTCGGAGATTTTTTTCTCATTATGCACTGCATGCTCCAGGATTTTTTTATATGGTGCACACTGACCACACAGACCCATTCTCTCACATGTGGGCCTACCAGCTTTCTCCTGCTTGATTTGAAGCCGCTAGAATTTATGAGTATAGATATATATTTATGAGTACAGTGGACCCCCGCATAGCGACTTTAATCCGTGCAAGAGGGCTGGTTGTTATGCGAAATGTTCGGTATGCGAATGAATTTTCCCCATAAGAAATAATGGAAATCAAATTAATCCGTGCAAGACACCCAAAAGTATGAAAAAAAAAAATTTTTACCACATGAAATGTTAATTTTAATACACACAAACTGAAAAAGGCATGCACAATTACATGGCACTTACTTTTATTGAAGATCTGGTGATGATTGATGGGATGGGAGGAGGGGAGAGAGAGTGTTAGTGTTTAGAAGGGGAATCCCCTTCCATTAAGACTTGAGGTGTCGAGTCCTTTCTGGGGTTACTTCCCTTCTTCTTTTAATGCCACTAGGACCAGCTTCAGAGTCACTGGACTTCTTTCGCACAACATATCTGTCCATAGTGGCCTGTACCTCTCGTTCCTTTATGACTTCCCTAAAGTGTTTCACAACATTGTCAGTGTACAGGTTGCCAACACGGCTTGCAATAGCTGTGTGAGGGTGATTTTCATCCATGAAGGTTTGCACTTCAAGCCACTTTGCACAGATTTCCTTAATCTTTGTAGTAGGCAACTTCTTCAATTTCTCTCCTCTCCCCTCCTCTGAACCAGTTTCCTCAGGTCTGGCCTCTTGCTGTTGGAGTTGATCTATCAGCTCATCAGTGGTTAGTTCTTCATTGTCCTCCTCCACCAACTCTTCCACATCATCCCCACTAACCTCCAACCCTAAGGACTTTCCCAATGCCACAATGGATTCCTCAACTGGCATAATCCTCTCAGGGTTAGCCTCAAACCCTTCAAAATCCCTTTTGTCTACACATTCTGGCCACAGTTTCTTCCAAGCAGAGTTCAAGGTCTTCTTAGTCACTCCCTCCCAAGCCTTACCTATAAGGTTTACACAATTGAGGATATTAAAGTGCTCTCTCCAAAACTCTCTTAGAGTCAGTTGAGTTTCTGAGGTCACTACAAAGCACCTTTCAAACAGAGCTTTTGTGTACAGTTTTTTGAAGTTTGCAATAACCTGCTGGTCCATGGGCTGCAGGAGAGGAGTGGTATTAGGAGGCAAAAACTTCACCTTAATGAATTTCATGTCCCCATAAAGTCGCTCTGCCACGTCTGTAGGATGACCAGGGGCATTGTCTAACACCAGGAGGCACTTAAGTTCTAATTTCTTTTCAGTTAGGTAATCTTTCACATTGGGGGCAAATACATGGTGTAACCAGTCATAGAAAAAGTCCCTAGTGACCCATGCCTTACTGTTTGCCCTCCACAGCACACACAAATTCTCCTTGAGAACATTCTTTTGCCTGAACGGTCTGGGAGTTTCAGAGTGATACACTAATAAAGGCTTCACTTTGCAATCACCAGTAGCATTGGAACACATCAACAAAGTAAGCCTGTCTTTCATAGGCTTATGTCCTAGGAGTGCCTTTTCCTCCTGAGTAATGTAGGTCCTGCTTGGCATTTTCTTCCAAAACAGGCCTGTTTCATCACAATTAAACACTTGTTCAGGTTTCAGTCCTTCACTGTCTATGTACTTCTTGAATTCCTGCACATATTTTTCAGCTGCTTTGTGGTCCGAACTGGCAGCCTCACCATGCCCTTTTCACACTATGTATGCCACTACGCTTCTTAAATCTCTCAAACCAACCTTTGCTGGCCTTAAATTCACTCACATCATCACTAGTTGCAGGCATTTTTTTAATTAAATCCTCATGCAACTTCCTAGCCTTTTCGCTTATGATCGCTTGAGAGACGCTATCTCCTGCTAGCTGTTTTTCATTTATCCACACCAATAAGAGTCTCTGAACATCTTCCATCACTTGCGATCTCTGTTTCGAAAACACAGTTAAACCTTTGGCAAGAACAGCTTCCTTGATTGCCTTTCTGTTGCCCACAATAGTAGCGATGGTTGATTTGGGTTTCTTGTACAACCTGACCAGGTCGGCGACACGCACTCCACTTTCATACTTATCAATGATCTCTTTCTTCATCTCTATTGGAATTCTCACCCTTATTGCTGTAGGGTTGGCACTAGAAGCTTTCTTGGGGCCCATGGTCACTTATTTTCCAGATAAAGCACCGAAAGCACTGTAATAATACGAAATATTCCGATTGTATGCTTGGATGTTACCGCAGAGGCTGGCTGGTAAACAATGCCACCAGCGGAACATGTGAGGCTGGCTGAGGGCGCACATTGGACGCGTCTCGGACGAAGAGCGGTGAGTGGGTTTTTGGGCGGTATGCGAGGCAAATTTTTTGCGATAAAAGCGAGCGGTATGCGGATTGTACGGTATGCGATGCGTATGGTATGCGGGGGTCCACTGTATATATATAGGGGTCATCCTCGAAAGGGTTGGAAAGAGGGGTAAAGGAGGTTTTGTGGGCTAGGGGCTTGGACTTCCAGCAAGCGTGCATGAGCGTATTAGATAGGAGTGAATGGAGGCGAATGATACTTGGGACCTGACGATCTGTTGGAGTGTGAGCAGGGTAATATTTAGTGAAGGCATTCAGGGAAACCGGTTATTTTCATATAGTCGGACTTGAGTCCTGGAAATGGGAAGTACGATGCCTGCACTTTAAAGGAGGGGTTTGGGATATTGGCAGTTTGGAGGGATATGTTGTGTATCTTTATACGTATATGCTTCTGAACTGTTGTATTCTGAGCACCTCTGCAAAAGCAGTGATAATGTGTGAGTGTGGTGAAAGTGTTGAATGATGATGAAAGTATTTTCTTTTTGGGGATTTTCTTTCTTTTTTGGGTCACCCTGCCTCGGTGGGAGACGGCCGACTTGTTGAAAAAAAAAAAAATATATACGTCAAATACGGTACCTCTTAAGACGTATATATACAACCTCGACAGTCAAAGGGTTAAGTGTGACTGTGAAATAAGCCACCTTGGGCCCAATGGAAGATGTGGAGAGAGGCAGGGAGTGTAGAATGGAGGGCTGTCCCTCCATTCTACAGGGAAACAGGGAGTGTAGCAGGCAGGCAGGCAAGCAGGTAGTGTACCAGGCAGGCAGGTAGTGTAGCAGGCAGGCAGGGAGTGTAGCAGGCAGGCAGGGAGTGTAGCAGGCAGGCAGGCAGGGAGTGTAGCAGGCAGGCAGGCAGGGAGTGTAGTAGGCAGGCAGGGAGTGTAGCAGGCAGGCAGGGAGTGTAGCAGGCATGCAGGGAGTGTAGAGGCATGCAGGGAGTGTAGCAGGCATGCAGGGAGGTAGCAGGCAGGCAGGGAGTTGTAAATAGCAGGCAGAGGGAGTGTTAGCAGGAGGCAGGCAGGGAGTGTAGCAGCAGGCAGGGAGTGTAGCAGGCAGGCAGGGAGTGTAGCAGGCAGGCAGGGAGTGTAGCAGGCAGGCAGGGAGTGTAGCAGGCAGGCAGGGAGTGTAGCAGGCAGGCATGCAGGGAGTGTAGCAGGCATGCAGGGAGTGTAGCAGGCAGACAGGGAGTGTAGCAGGCAGGCAGGGAGTGTAGCAGGCAGGCAGGGAGTGTAGCAGGCAGGCAGGCAGGGAGTGTAGCAGGCAGACAGGGAGTGTAGCAGGCAGGCAGGGAGTGTAGCAGGCAGGCAGGGAGTGTAGCAGGCAGGCAGGGAGTGTAGCAGGCAGGCAGGGAGTGTAGCAGGCATGCAGGGAAGTAACCCTAAAAGAAAGGGCTTTGATACCAGAAGTCCTTATGGAGGAGGATTTCCCTTCCAAACAATACATGTAATCAGCCCTCCCTCTCTCTCCTCCTCCCTGTCTTCTGAAAGCCAACAAGAGTCTTCAATAAAGGTATGTAATAGTGATTTAAATGTTCGTTTATTTATTTTATTTAGTTCTCCTTGTTTTGTATATGTAAAACTATAATTAATCTTTAAAAAATGTATTTTTTTTTTTGTTAATATTTTTGGATGTCTGGAATGGATTAATTGTATTTACATTAATTCTTTATGGGAAATATTGCGTGAAATTTAGGCCTTTTCAAATTTAGGCTGACCTTCTGGAATGGATTACAGCTGATATTCGGGTTCCATTGTATTTAGGATCTCTAGAATATAGCTAGGAGAGTTATCATACCCAAGGTAGTAGATTGGTAGACAGCAACCACCCAGAGAGGTACTACACTACACATGCATGTACAAGCATATATATGCACACCCTTCTGTGTTTTCTTCTATTTTTCTTACTAGTTCTTGTTTATTTCCTCCTATCTCTATGGGAAAGTGGAATAGAATTCTTCCTCCATAAGCCATGCATGTCGTAAGAGGCGACTGAAATGCTTGGAGCAAGAGGCTAGTAACCCCTTCTCCTGTATTACTCAAGTTAAAAAGACTTCTTTTTTTTCACCCTGCTTCAGCGGGATACGGCTGGTTTGTTGAAAGAGGAAGTTATTTCATACATGAAATACACCTGAAGGTCAGATCTCTTTTATGTACATTCAGTTAACACCTTATTTGAAGGAGAAAAATGGTAGGTGTAGTATTATAATAATAAAAAGGAAGCTTTTTGCTAGAAAAATTTGAGAACCATCAGCATTGGAGGTCAAATACTCTCCAACCTTCTATCAGCAAATAGTAAAATATTGGTGAAACAAAGACTTAAGTTTGCAAGAGGTGATATCGTACAATCTTGCAAGTAGTACCATTTTAGCCAGAGGCCAGGTGGAGAGTAGAATAACTTTTGATCTGTTTGGTATTAGTTTTGTTTTTGTCTTTCACATCAGTAGCTCCTCTCCATACCTCACCAAACTCACCGTATTTTTAAGTATTGTACTCTCTCCCAATATACTGTAATTTCTTTTATCCCACAGCCATTTGAATCTCATTGTCTGCTCTTCTAATTCCACTGTCTTCAAAATTATCAATTGTATACATTGCTTCCAATTCCTTGAAATTATCAATTGCCTACACTCAATTTAGCTATTTTTATTGGTAACTGATATGTATAGAATACTATATTAACCACAGATTATGTTGACATTAAATTTAAATTTGAGTATTTTTCACAGACCCTTTACAAGTGGCAAAAATCAGCCACAGCTACTTGAAGTTGAGGGGACAACTGCTAGACTCATATTACGCAAGGCAGTGGCAACAATCTGTGCTCACACTGGTTACACAGACACTGCAGAAAGTGTGCTTCGGTTACTGACTGATGTTACACACGAGTTTCTCACCAAGCTGACAAACGTTCTTAGAGCCAATGCTGATAACCTCCTCCTCACTGACAGGTGCCCCTTCCATGTAAGTTGTATCCAAACCTCCATCTGCATCATTTTTTTTTTATTTGCATCTAACACACGAATTGGAAATGAAAGCTAGATAATACGTATATTGTTCTGTGTTGGACTGTTGCTAAGTTATGACTTAATAATGGTCCAAGACAGGCCCAAATGTTATCAAGTTTTCCTTCTAATATTGTAGATTGGTCTTGAATTTTATCAACCATGGTATTGTTATTTTTTTTTATATACAGTATAGTAAAACCTTACATAATTCAGGGTGGGGAGAGTTATGTTTTTGAAAATTGGCTTGTAATGTGAAATAGCATTACAGTGAAGTTGTTGCTTATATTAATTGTCTGAGCTAGTGGTAGTTGGAGATGCTACTGCTTGTAAGGGAAATCAGAATGAACCATTCAGCACTAATATGTACAGTTCTGTATGAAGCTGCTTACTTGCTTGAGGTGCAGTTCTTGAAATTTTGATTGGTGAACTTGTACAGGGATGCATACCAGTGGCATTTTTGCCAGTCTCTGCTGTTTGGCATTATCTGACAGAATATTGATACATCCTGCTTCCCACTTTCATGAGTTTGGGACTATGACGTGAAGTTGAAATTTTTTAGTTAATTATTCTTAAACTTTCATTGAGACGGCCGACTTGTTGAAAAAAAAAAATAATAGCTTTATTTACTACAAGTACATGTACATGGTATACAGGCCTAGCTGACATCAATGACATACTGCTATATGAAGAGCCCCCTTGTTATCTGAGCATTTTGGGCAAATTGAGTCAGTTTTGCCCCAGGCTGTAATCCATACCAGTCAACTAGCACCCAGGTACCCATTTTAAACTGATGGGTGAACAGGGACAACAGGTGTTTTATGGAAACATGTCCCTAATATTTTCCAGCCGTACTGGAGGAGATTCGAACTCCGGACCTCAGTGTGTGAATTGAGTGCACTATCAACTGAGCTACAAAAAGGCAAGATCAGAGTTATCTTTTTATTGTATAAAGCTAATTAATTATGTACTATATTATTTAGGATGTTGTGGAGCAGACACTGCATGATATTGGGATGGGCAGCATGAATGAGCTTCATCAGATGTATCGTGATCGGGTGGTACTGTATCATGCACGTGTTCGTCAGGAGAGTCTGCAGCTCTACCACCAGTATATGACTGTCTTGCACAATAGAGAAGCCAGTATTGCCACTCCTGGGTATGTTCAAGATAAAAAAAAAAAAAATGTCATCAGTATTCTTCAAAGTTCATGTACAGGTAGGAGCCATTTTACAAAATGTTCCAACAGGACAGCCATAAAATGAAAAACTATAAAATAAGACCAAATTATAAGGTAATTAAATGAAATGAGTTTCAAAATTATAAAAATTTTCCCGACTATGTACTAATATTGCTCTTTTATATAAATAATTAAATATTTTAAACATTTGAACACATGTATTATTTATACTTATACATAAAACAATAAAATAAAATTTTAACTTTGGTCCTGTGGAACTATTGCTTGAGTACATCTTTATGCCATTATCTTATCCCTTCACTGATATTTTATGTGAGGGTTGTCAGGTGTTGAGGGTTCAGTATTGACATCTGGTGTAACTTCATACTTCTTTCTTTCAAGACGTTATAGTAGGGCTTCAGCATTATGTTGACACCTTTTTGGATGCCATGGCTGTATTCCCAATCAGGATCATTATCTCAGAGTTGTAGATGAATGGTTCAGAGAACCGACATGTTGTTGAATTAGACACATGTGCAACTCTTGGGCTGATGAAGCCACTGTGTGGTGAAACGTTTCCTCAATAAAGATACCCAAGAGTTGCACATATGTCTAATTCAACAACATCTCAGAGTTCATCAACTGCACTATGAATTTTGTCAAGAGCACTCTTAATATGTTTTGTTTTAAATGTCCTGATTGGCTCTAACTCTTCCACTTCCTCTGGTGTGTCAGCCTCATGTTGTTGAAGTTGCACAGCCAGTTCATCCAGTTCGTCCCTGGAAAGTGGCTCACCAGCAACTGGTCAGTGTCGCCTGGATAAATGTTGTCAATGCCAATATCCTTAGCCATGTGAGAGACATCTTTAGCTACTTCCAAAACTGGCTCAATCCCTACAAAATCAGTCACTGCTTTGGGCCACAAAATAAGCCAGATGCCATTCATGCAGAACTGTGATATTTCCTCCCAGGCAGAATCAATGTTTGTGATGGCTTTCAGGATGTTATACAACTTCCAGTAGTCCCTCGGTTATATCTGACTGCACAGCCTCCACAATTCCTTTGAAAGTTGTATACAAATAATTTTTCAATTTTTTAGATAATTTTGAAAAGTTGTTAACATGAGTTGTAAAATGGACCATCGTAAAATGGGACCTACCTGTACTTTAGTATGTTTGATAAAAAAATTATTGTAATCATATTTATACATTCTTTAACCCGTAAACGGTCCAAACGTATATATACGTTTTTTCAACATTTGAAAGTGTGTAAAAAAAGTAGATCTTTTTTTTTTTTTTTACATTTGAAAATATGTAAAAAAACGTAGATGTACTTTTGGAGCACTACGCATGTGAACGTAGATCTGCTTGGACCGTTTACGGGTTAAAGATTTTTTTCCTAATTGCAGAATTAGTATTGTTTCATTTTTATGCCTTACTTCAGTCCCAAATTTGGGGGCTCAGATGTACCAGTCATGAGAAAAAGTATATGTACTCATGAATTGTTTTTCTTAGAAATGTTCAGTAATATGATGTGCTACACAGATTAAATTGAAGGTGTTCAATATTTATATGTGCAGTTCTGTAGTATCAATTACAGTGGAACCCTGAATATCGGCCGAATCGTATTTAGGCTGGTTTTTGGGTGGAAATTTTGCTCTGTATTTTGGCCAGTGCCTTGCAAATCGGACGTATTATATGCGTCAGCCTGCCTCCCGCCGGGACGTCATGCGTAGGTGAGTCAGTCTCCCTGTCTCTCTCGGTGAATGAGCATACACTCCGCACATTCATCCAAACATTTCCTTAAAATCCATTGTTTTTTGTGCTTGTTAAGTGCAACTGTGAAATAAGCCACCATGGGCCCAATGGAAGATGTGGAGAGAGGCAGGAAGTGTAGCAGGCAGACAGGGAGTGTAGCAGGCATGCAGGGAGTGTAGCAGGGAAACGGAGTATGGAAGGGAGGCAGGGATTGTAGCAAGCAGGCAGGCAGGGAGTGTAGCAGGGAAATGGAGTGTGGAAGGGAGGCAAGGAGTGTAGCAGGCATGCAGGGAGTGTAGCAGGCATGCAGGGAGTGTAGCAGGCATGCAGGGAGTGTAGCAGGCATGCAGGGAGTGTAGCAGGGAAACAGGGAGTGTGGAAGGGAGGCAGGTAGGGAAGTAACCCCAGAGAGGGCTTTGCTAACTGAAGTCCTTATGAAAGGGGATTCCCCTTCCAAACAATAATCAGTCTTCCTTTTCTTCTCCTTGTCTTGCATAAGCCAACAAGAGTCTTCAATAAAGGTATGTAATAGTGATTTAAATGTTCATATATTTATTTATTTAGTTCTCATTGTTTCGTGTATGTAAAACTATAATTCATCTTTAAAAAATGTATTTTTTGTTAATATTTTTGGGTGTCTAGACTGGATTAATTGTACTTTCATTAATTCTTATGGGAAATATTGCTTCGAATTCAGGCTGACCTTCTGGAATGGATTACAGCCAATATTTGGGGTTCCACTGTACTCCATAAATTCGCAATAGTAAAGACTGTTGATTGCATATTTAAAAAATCTACAGAAATTCTTCACTTGTATAGGTACACCAAGTTAATAATCAGTTTTGCTGAAAATAACTTGATATATTAGTCAAACCATACGACGGTGGGGTTTGAACCCGCAGTCAGAAAGTCTCAAAACTACAGACTGTCGCGTTAGCATTGGTGGACACAGTGGTGCCTATGCTAGCTTTCCTATGGTGTAGAAATATACCTCGTTGGACGAATCTGGAGTTTTGAGACTCTGACTGCGGGTTCAAACCCCACCTGTGGTATGGTTTGTTAGCAATCGTGTTTTTACGATTTCATGAGTCATGATATATCAGTGCTGTTGGCTTAAATGTAAAAAAAATTTCTTCAGAAATATTCAAGATTTTAATTTCAAATAATTTAATATCAAATGCAGTAAAATTTCTCATTAATGAATCTTGGCAATTATGGACAAAACAGTTGGTCAGATACACGGAGGTATCAGACAAAATGGATAAAAGTCAGTAATTCTAGATTTTGTTTATAGTGATAGTGTCTGGTTGTCTTCTGTAGTATCAGACCAAGCCTGATGACTAACATTTGTCCAGTACAGGCCAGAGTGGCCACGGCCAGGACCTGTCTGTTTTCATTGTGTCATGAGTCATGGGCCACCTGTACCAGTTTATTGTTTGTGCCCACTCTCACATACACTTGCCATTCAGTCTCTAATTTTTCCCAGGATTTAGAGAGTTTTCCATGACTTATAACATATTAAGTAAAGTGCAGTTAACAGTTGCTTGTAATGCAAGTGGTGGTACGAAGAGGAAGTGTGTGGTTCTCAGTGTTAAGTAGAAACTTGAACTAATAAAGAAGGTTGAATCTGGCATCTTAGTTGCAAGGATAAACCTACAGTTTGGTGTTGATGATAGTGGAGTTTTACAGCTCCTCTGACAAGAATAAGTGAGTCATTCTGAGTCACCAGTATTGATCATGCCAATTTGCACCTCATCTCTAACCATGGTAAGTAAAATTACTGTAAATTACATACAGTATTATAAAATTGCTATACACTACAGTACCATACTGTAGTACTACTGGCTACAGTACCTATATTCTTATTGTCTGGTTGTCTTCTGTAACAGCAGATCAAGTCTGTTAGTTCAGAAGACAAATCTACATGAAAATTTTATTTCATAATTTAGTTGTCAATATCATACATACCCTTTCCCCTTTTAGCCTGTTAATGAGAGGGTCACTGTATTTTAATTTTCTAGCATGGCCAGACAAAAATTGTGAACTCCACTAACAAAGGTTACTAATTTGTCACATTACCATTGAGACTTCAACGCTTCCTGTTTGTATTCATCTTCAGAATCCTTCTCAGTTCCTTGTTACTGTAGTTCTTATAACATTTAATTTTGTTTTTCAATATGTGATAAAGGTCAAGACGAGAGAGCACCGGTGAGTGGTGGGTTGATGAGTGTGGGAGTCAGCACGGTGGACCTGGAGGTTCTTCAGCTCCAGGCATGGATGAAGCATCTGTCCCCTCCATTAAAAGCACATCAAGTCTTGATCCAGAGTTGTCTCTCCATCCTTTCTCTGTACTTAGTCAGTAAGTTGAGTTTTTGCTTAGTGGTTAACGTTTTTATTGGTGATAGATCCTGGCTTGTAGCTTGGGGTGGGGTAGTTAGATAGAAATGGAAGGGCAATAAAATAAGAACACTGTTAGGCGTTGATAAACTTACTTTTAAATGAGACAAAACGAAAATTAAATCTTATACCTCTCACTTTGCTCATTCAAAAAATGCATAGGTTTACAGATACATATGTGATTAATTTCTGTTAACACTAAATTCACTAAAGACTGAATAGGTTTAGTTGAATCTGTATTGAGAAGCAAACCATGCTTATGTTTAACTTTGCATTCGTTGATCTTGCAAAATTAAAAAGAATGATTTCCATAAAATATACAAAAGAAAAATGCAGAAGGTTAATACTAGTAAGAGGATAATGGGAAATTTTGATAAAGAATACACCAAGTGTGGAAATATGGGTGGATTGAGGGAAATAGGGAGTTAACAGAGAATTCAACATTCTAAATACAGTGGACCCCCGGTTAACGATATTTTTTCATTCCAGAAGTATGTTCAGGTGCCAATACTGACCGAATTTGTTCCCATAAGGAATATTGTGAAGTAGATTAGTCCATTTCAGACCCCCAAACATACACGTACAAACGCACTTACATAAATACACTTACATAATTGGTCGCATTGGGAAGTGATGGTTAAGCGGGGGTCCACTGTATCTTGGAAAATACTTCAGTGAGAATTTGGCAAATACTGTATTTTGCAGCTTGTAAGACTTGTTTTAGTTTCAATGGCTCAGCATCAGACATAACTATGAGAGCTAAAGCCCACTCCACACCCCAGACTTATAGCTCCTGTCACTGACCTTCACTTTATAGGATGCAGGGTAGTGAGATTTTAAAGTAACTGGCCGGATGCAAGCACTCAAAGGAAGAGTGTATGAAATTAAAACTGGGTGATAGAACAAAAAGTGGGGTATTTATATTGTTTGGACATAAAGAGAGAAAGGATGATTGAAGCTTTAAGAAGAGGAAAAGGGAGTCTGAGAACATGGTGTAAGATCTTGAGTTTGAAGGAAAAGGTGTCAGCCCAGAAGAGTCTGGGTTGTGAAAGAATACGAATACTTTAAGGGGATTAGTTTCATACATTATTTTGCAAAAGCACTAAAGCTATCAGAGTTATACAGCACCTGGGAGTTGTTCAAGGAAGGGAAGGGTAGCTCTAGTTACTTGGATCCAGAGCCCTTCAGCATAAAGGCCATTTCCTTTTATTTTTTCTTTGTCAGTATTTCATAGAGGTGTTAAAATCGCATCAGATGATGCTCTTCGAAGCATTTACCAAAACGTTATAGTACATGGAGTGATAAATATATGCTTGTGAAAGAGTATCATGGATCATGAACAGAATTGTTGAGTGAGTGATGCTCAAGAAGGTAACTAGCATTGGAAGAAAGGCATCTGAAAGGATAAAACATTTAGTTACCACATTTTGCAGGGTCGGTGGTGATGGTGAAGATGTTGTGCAGAACTCCCCAGCTACTACTGTGCAGCAGTATCAGCTCTACCCTCTCACACCAAGATAAATTTTCTTTTTTATATTATTTATTGAATGCTTCCTGATTTTATGTGATAAGCAGTACATTATAATTATTCTGACTAGGGATGTGCCAAAGTATCAGTATTGATGAGTATTGGTATTGATATCAACCTAAAATTGAATATCAACAAAAATTTTGGTATCATCCCATCCCTAGTCCTGATGTTAGTTCAAGAACTGAAATTATTTTTAAGTCACATTAAGGAAGGCTTGGACACAATATGAGGTTTGTTGTTTTTCAGACAGAATTTTTTTATGTACTGTTCTTAATCCATTTTCTAATCATTTAACAATGAATAACTGCTTGTTTTGTGTACGTAATAAATTCTTGTTTCTTACTTTGTTTTTCAACCATAATCTGTTTTATGGAAGTAATGATCTAAAAGTAAAACTGGCATCACAAATAAGCTTCACGTATGTTGTTTCTTCTTTTTTGAGTCACCTTACCTTAGTGGGAAATGACCAATGTGTTAAAAATATATATATATTTATTGCTTTGCCATGTAATTATTAAGGTAGAGCCTGTGTACTATTAGTTATTTATAAATAAAATTATAATACATTAAATGCTCCATATAAGAGACTTCAGAGATATGTAACAAAATCCATTGGGTCAGTCAGTGTGGAAGTAGTGGACAAAGCCCATTGGTTACAGAATTGTACTGTATTGTTACAATCATGGCAAAACTATTTCTTCTCTACCACAACTGCATGACATTAGTGGCCACCTGCTTTCCTCAGTTAGTCCATTATATAGAGGGTTTACTGTATTTCAGTATAGTTTACAGTCAGTTATTGTAAGTAAAAGCATATGTGAAGGCAAATTATGTAAGTAACTAAATGTCTTAATGCCACATACCGAAAGATGTATATTCAGCCTTCAAAAAAATAAGAAAGTAAAAGATGTCAGAAATAAGAGAAACCAGCACTAATGGAAAGCTCATGTTGCTTCCCCAGTATTGAACTTTTTTACAAATGGAGACAAAATATATGCTAATGTGATAGTTGCTCAAGTATACATAAATATCAAAAGAACTTATTGGGAAACAACGATAATGAAAAAAATGAAGTTCCAGGATATTCATTTGTGTAAAATTAAGAACTGTGATAATGAACAAGAAATGTACAATGCAAGGTTGTTAGTTAAAAAAGGAGGATGAGGTTAATCATAGAATTGACGAGGGAAAAAAGGCGAGTGGTGTGTTGAGGTATATGTGGAGACAAACATTATCTATGGAGGCAAAGAAGGGACTGTATGAAAGTATAGTAGTACCAACACTCTTATATGGGTGTGAAGCTTGGGTTGTGAATGCAGCAGCGAGGAGGCGGTTGGAGGCAGTGGAGATATCCTGTCTAAGGGCAATGTGTCGTGTAAATATTATGCAGAAAATTCGGAGTGTGGAGTTAATAAAAGTATTAGTCAGGGGGCTGAAGAGGGGTGGTTGAGGTGGTTTGGTCATTTAGAGAGAATGGATCAAAGTAGAATGACATGGAGAGCATTTAAATCTGTAGGGGAAGGAAGGCGGGGTAGGGGTCGCCCTCGAAAAGGTTGGAAGGCAGGAGTAAGGGAGGTTTTGTGGGCGAGGGACTTCCAGCAGGCATGCGTGAGTGTGTTCGATAGGAGTGAATGGAGACGAATGGTATTTGGGACCTGACGATCTGTTGGAGTGTGAGCAGGGTAATATTTAGTGAAGGGATTCAGGGAAACCAGTTATTTTTATGTAGCCGGACTTGAGTCCTGGAAATGGGAAGTACAATGCCTGCACTCTAAAGGAGGGGTTCAGGATATTGGCAGTTTAGAGGGATGTGTTGTGTATCTTTATACGTACAGTATATGCTTCTAAGCTGTTGTGTTCTGAGCACCTCTGCAAAAACAGTGATTATGTGTTAGTGAGGTGAAAGAGTTGAATGCTGATGAAAGTATTTTCTTTTTGAGTATTTTCTTTCTTTTTGGGTCACCCTGCCTCGGTGGGAGACGGCTGACTTGTTAAAAAAAAAAAAAATATCCCTTAAAAGGGGGGGCTGCCTTGATGCCAGTGAAGTGCTATTGATCCTTCCCTTCCTTGAATCATTCCTGATTGCCTCCCATTCCCAAGGCTCTGTGATCCATAAACGTCAGGTGCTTCCCCAAGAATATGATAATACATACAGTAATAACGTAAAGGCAGAAGTTATCATTACCAAGAAAATCATGCATGCTTTATCATTTTATTTTAAGAAATGCAGATTTATCAAAATATACTGGCAATCAAAAAATGTTAAGTTAATTTAGAGAAGACGACAAATTTTGCTGATAATAAGAAACAGTTTTATAGAAAGATCGGCAGAGTGAGAAAGCCCGGAAAGCTAATGGATTTAGCAATTAAAAACTAGGAAATGGAGGTACTCAAAAAATTGAGAGAATATTTTGACAAGTTGAATATTAATGATGAAAGGGAGGCAGGGAGGAATGATATTGTATAGGAATGAGGAAGAGACCGAGGTAGATACGGGACAAGTGCATCAGGCAGTGGGAGGAATGAATAATAAAGAAACTGGGACAGATGGGATTAAGACAGATTTTTTTTTTTAAACACCAGCCATCTCCCACCAAGACAGGGTGACCCAAAAAAGAAGAAACACTTTCATCATCACTCACTCCATCACTGTCTTGCCAGAGGTGCGCCAGTACTGCAGTTCATAACTGCAAATCTCGTCACTTCTCCTTCAGAGTGCAGGTACCATACTTCCCACCTCCAGGACTCAAGTATGGCTAACAGGTTTCCCTGAATCTCTTCCTAAATGTTGCCTGTATCACACTCCAGCAACACATCATAAAAACCACTTGCCTCCACTCACTGTTATCTAATTTACACATACTTAGTGGATGTCTAAGCCCCCCTTCCCTCCAGTACACTAAACCTCTACCCCCTTCCTCCAGCCTTTACTAGGACAACCTCTACCCTGTCTTCCCTCTACTACAGATTTATACACCCTCCAAGTTATCCTATTTTGTTCCTCTCTAAATGTCCAAATGACCTCAGAAACCCCCCCCCTCAGCCCTCTAGATAATAACCTTTAGTAACCCCACACCACCTAATCTCTAGACTACAGATTGTCTACATAATATTTACACCACACATTGCCCTCAGACATAACATCCCCACTGCCTCCAGCCTCCTCCTCACTGCAACATTCAGAACCAAATGCTTCACACTCATATTAGAGTGTTAGTACCACCTTTTTGCCTTCATGGACAACATTCTTTGTTTCCACTGATGCTTAAATACACCACCCACCTTCTCTCTCTCTCTCATCAGTTCTATAGTTCACCTCATTTTTCTGCTGACATGTCTATGCCCAAATATCTGAACACATTCACACACTATTCTCCCTCTTTTCAGTGTGACATCTAATATTTCATTACCTAAATTTTTTGTTACTTGCATCACCTTGCTCTTTCATATATTCCTTTCAGTTTCCTTCTTTTACGTACCCTCCCAGATTTGTCCATCAGCCTTTTTAACTTCTCTTCAGAATTTCTCAAAAGCACAGTGTCATCAGCAAAAAGTAACTGTGACAACCTCCTACATATCTATCAAGAGAGAACCTGAAATAATGACTTGAATTGGAAATTAAAGTCCTCATTATTCACATAAAGAAGCTCTTAGTAGCTTATCTTTTCCATACTTTTGCAAAACATTTGCCACTTTGCTTCCATATCTTCTCTTTTAAAATCCTTTTTTCTAAATCTATAATTAAATAAACTTTTGAAAATTTTTATCCACAGTTTAATTATTTACCTAGGCTTATGAAAATGCCGTCTATACATCCATTATCCTTCATAAGCCAAAAACCTTTGCTTCCTCTTTCGTCTAACTCTTAACCCCTTTTTCATTAATAATTTTTAAACACTAATTCTATCATACACTTTACCGGTAAGCCCAACATATTATTTCTCTGTGATTCAAAAGCTTTCCTCACCTTTTTTTTTTTTTTTTGTCCCAAAGGGAACAGGCATCGCTCCACTTAGAAAAAGTGTGTTTTTGGGGTTAAAATTTTTTGGCTCATGGTAAATTTTTAGCTCCCTCAAACTAAAAAATAAAATCAAATATCACATGGTAACATGCATATAAGGCCACACTTAAATCCGGTTCACCACTTCATCCCAGTGGGGGGCTTATATAAGGAATTGTATCTGCTTCTCAACTTGGTTTAAACCCACATTTTTCCCCGGGTACTGATGACCCCAGGGGTTTAGTGCTCAGTATAATAAAAATTTAATTTTAATGTTAGGCAAATTATTATTTCCTTCCTTGGGTGATTGAAGTCGTATTAACCCTTATTTCCTACACTGTGAGGGCACTTTTTGTGCTCGGGATCAGCATTAGCATAACCTCACTTCCATCCCGCTATAACACTATGACTCATGGGTTTACACTTCCCCTTAATAAAAAAATTTTTAAGGGGATTAGTTTTCCTCCCTTTGGATTGAACCTAATATCCTTGCACTCCCCAGGTCTGTAACTCCTAGGGGTTTGTGCTTCCTCATGAATATAAACTAAAGTATCTGGGGGGTTTAAATGATGCTGAAAAGGGCTCTTATTCAAGAGTCTGACCTATTTCCATTCCGGTTAAACCCCAAAGCCTTCCATTCCCAGCACTGAAGACCCCAGTATTTTAGTGCTCCCTACCCCCCACTGTAAATAATAAAAAAATGGTGAAGGCATGCCATACTTGGTGCATTTTTGAAGACAACACATACCTTTAACTTTTTTGTCATTCTCCTGAAAGGAAGGTGGACTGATGTTTGGGAGGGTTTTGATTCTAGGAATTTAATCTATTTAAATTTCCCCAAGCACTGATTAAACCTTACAGTTTAATGCTGCCGTTTAATCTACAAAAAAGGTATAGTTGTAAAACGTTAGGGGCTCCCAATCATCACCAAGGATGAAACGAATAAAAAATACTAAAATCACCCGAGAATAATGCCCTCACTTTTCTCTCTTTGGAGGGTCCTGCATATCTCCCAAACCTCTTGTTTCATAGGAGTAATTTCAGTGGAGGTTTTGGGGCCGTCCCTCCATCTGGGGGGATGGGTCGGGGGTTCTAGGGACTTTAGCACTCTTTTGTAATTAAGGGGCTTTTACTGATTTTTTAAACGTGAAGGTTCCCTACATTTCAGTTTTTGCCTCCCCTTTAAGGGGATCGAGTTCCCTGAAAATATCATTTTTGGAAATAAAAGGTAAAAATACTGATACAATGGAAAAATTAAAAACACATCAGTATAAGTGATCCTTTTAATGACAATGTTTCAACCCACAGGGGCTTTATCAAATCAAAACAGATCTTTTTGGACTTGAAAAGCCCACTGGGGCAAAACATCTCAATAAAGGTCACTTACTGCATTGTGTTTATATTTCTATAAATTTTCTTAAAACTCTTGTTTTTGAAGGTTTTATTATCCAAATATTATTTTCAGCGCGGACAATAAGTTGTCAAAAAATTTTCACATTCAAGGAGTACATTAAAACTCCCAGATGTCCACATTGATGTACTTGACTGGGGGATTTGAGTTTTAACGATTTGCCTTGTTATTTCCTTCATTCTTTTCCCTGACTTTGTAACTGAAATTTGTCCTCACCTTTGGGGGCTCATTTTGGGCTTTATGGATGGACTTTAATACAAATTCTAGTACATCGCAAAGGGTATACAGTGCCAATTTATGTCCCGTCTGTCAAAAAAAGAAGAGGACGAGAAGTGAGGCAAGTAATGTTTTTGGGGGCAAATTTCACTAGCAGGTCCAATTCAGTTTTCTATTAATTTTGAGTTTCCTTTTTCATGCATACATACCATTAAAAATTTAAAAAAATTTAAAATCTTTTTTTTCTCTGTAATAAATTTCAATGGGGGTTTACATATTGTAAAATATCATTACATATTTTAAAATACTTATTAAAAAGAAGGCCCCATGTAGCCTAGGCTTTTGGGCAGACTAATACATGATTAATTTTTACTTTTTATTTACACAGGTTTTGGATCAACGATATTGAAGTTAGGAGCGTAGTGATTAACTAGATTTTCAAAATGAGGTAGTTTAAGAAAATTTAAAAGTTTTGTTTATCTATTAATGGGGCAGCCTTAACCCTGGGTTGCCATTAAAAAAAAAAAAAATTATTTTCTCTTTAAAATGGAGAATTTTCACTCCCAATGAATTTTAACTACAATACCTAAATAGTTCCAAAAAATTTACATCCAGCCAAAAAAAAATTGAACCCCTCGGCCATTCATTTCTAGCCCCCACAAAAAACAAATTTATTCCAGGGAAACCCTCCTTTTTTGGGGTTTGGGTTTGGGGGGGGTTGGTGGGGGGGGGGAGGGGGGATTTCCTTTTCCCATTCCTTTTAAATTGCAAAGGGAAACGGCATTTTAAAAACCCAAGGATTTCACAACACCTTTTGGCTCCCTCCCAAATTTGTTACTTTTGAAGTTTGGTAAAAATCGAACATTTCTGCTACTTTGAGCTCAATTTCAAGGCACCTTTCATTGTAAAACCAGTCAAAATCATCTCAATTTCAGTAATATGTCTTCCATTCTATAAAATGAGACCAAGAAAACTAGAATACAACAATAAATACTATACAAAATACACTGCAAAGTCCGCTGATTTATTAAAAAAAAATGGAAAAAGTTTTTTTTTTCTCATTATGCACCGTGTGCTGCAGGATTTTTTTTAGACTGTGCACACTGACCACATAGACCCATTCTTTCATATGAAGGCCTACCAGCTTTCTCCCACTAGATTTGAGGTCGCTAGAATTTATGAGTACTAGTACGTCAAAAACCCCTACGCGTAAGACGTACTAGTACGACGAAAACCCTCAAAGGGTTAATGGAGCTAGCGCTGTATAGCCCTTGTGGCTTAGCGCTTCTTTTTTTATTATAATAATAATATTAATGGAGCTGGACAGGCTGTATGTCTGGCTTGACAAATGGCTACTGGAATTTCACTCCAGCAAGTGTAAGTTTATTCAGGTACAAGTACACATAAATAGTTACATAAATTATCATACATAAACCATGCCACAGGTGGGGATAGAACCCGCGATCGTGTCATTACGATTTCGTGAGTCAGTTATCATACATAGTAACATACGTGTAGATTACCTAGGATAACCCAAAAGTCAGACAAAGTGCAAAGCTATGGAGTCTGGGGAAGGGTAAAAAAAAAAAAACACAAATGGAATACAGGCTCTGGGGGAGGGGGGTTAAAGACTGCTCTTGCCTTGCACTGAGTTCAGCTGGTTAAATTCCCAGCATGGATGGAAATGCTGGGCAGGCTTCTTTACAATACCTAGAGGATGTTCTGAGGGTCAACACCTTGGCGGTCCAGTCCGTGACCAGGCTTTGCAGTGGATCAGGGCTTGATCAACAAGGCAGTTACTGATGGCCACATACAAACCAATGTACGAGCCACAGCCTGGCTGATCAGGTATTGACCTTAGGTTCCTGTCCAGCTCTCTCTTGAAGACAGTCAGGGATCAATTGGTTATCTCCCTTATGTTTGCTGGGAGGTAGTTGAACAGTCTTGGATACCTAACACTTATTGTGTTGTCTCTTATTGTACTCTTGGAGTCCTTGCTTTTTATTGGGGGAATGTTGCACCACCTACCAAGTCTTTGCTTTTCGTAGGGAGTGATTTCGATGTGTAGATTTGAGGCTAGTCGCTCTAGGATGTTCCAAGTGTATATTATCATGTATCTTTCTCGTTTGCATTCCAAGGAGTACAGGTCGAGGGCCTTCAACCATTCCCAGTAATTTAGGAGCTTTATGATACGAATACATGCATTATTATAATTATGGAGGAGCGCTAAACCCGTAGGATTATACAGTGCATCTGGGGGAGGAGATGGAAGGTATGCAGGCTCAATTCAGGAACCGGAGCACAGATCCAATTCCCTAGATCAAGAGCCCCTCACCAGCATCAAGGAACCTCCCTTGAGGGGACAAATATGTGCAGTAAAGGTTCTCTGTATAAGGTCCGCAATTTCACCTGCCTTGAAAGGGACCGTTAGTGTACAGCTGTTATTATTATAATCATACAGCAATATTCCAGCATACTCATGGTGCCTCTGCTTTTCAGTGGGGGGGATGTTGCACCGCTTGCCGAGTCTTTACTTTGTTCTGCTATTCCTTTGTCATGCAGTGAGGCAGAGAGAGCTGAGCTTACCAACAAACGACCCATAAGTAAGTAGGTTCATTCAGATATACATCACACAGCAGCGTATGTGTCAAGTGACTAGGATAACCCAAAAAAGTCAGCGACTTATTTCCACTGGGGTCCTAATTTACACATGTTACCATACCCCGGCCAGGATTGAACCCGCGGTTAGAGAGTCTCAAAACTCCAGACCGTCGCGTTAGCCACTGGACCAGCTAGCCACAATAAGATTCGTCCAACTAGGTATATTTCTACACCATAGGAAGGTTAGCATAGGCACCACTGTGACCACAAATGCAAGTTTTTACAGACGAATCTCCAGCTAACGTGGCCGTGACGAACTCTAGCTCAAGTCCCCTCACTGCCGTCAACATGACACGAAATTGTAATGACACGATTGCAAACAAACCATACCCCCCCCACGAGGGCAGTGAGGGGATTTAATTTATTTATTTTTTATTTATAATTTGAGCATAATACAGAGGTACAAAAAATAGGGGAAAGGGCAGCATCCAAAGCCACTTATATCATACTTACGGGCTGGCTTAAAATTAACAAAAGATTAACTAAGCAATGATGAAATCATGATAAAATATTATTGTAAAAAGTAACTATAAAGCACAAATGAGTATTACAAAGACAGGTCATATGGTTGTATGCTTGCTGTACATTCAGTCAAGGGAGTATTCTTTTAGGTGTGTTTTTTAAAAAAATAATAAATTAGTTTGGGGTTTTGGGTTTTAACATTTATGTGAATAATTGGAAAACATTTAAGATATACAATTTAAAAGGGGTTTCAGTTATTCAGTATTTATTTGGTTTTTTGGGTGATAAGTGACTTTGAGAAGAGATTTGAATTATAAACAGTAGTGTTTCTTTTATATTTACGGGTAATGAATTCCAGTTTTTGGGGCCTTTTTATGTGCATTGATTTTTTGCATAGCGTGAGATGGACACAGGAACATCAAAGATGATCTGTCCCTTGTGTTTATGGTCAGTTTCATTGGGGTTGGCAAGGAGATGTTTAGGGGAGGGTTAATATCAAGTTAAGTGTTCTTGAAGAAATAGGGGGCAATAAAAAGTAGGGATTTTGTTGGTGATAGGTTGGTGTTTTGAAATTGGGGAGTGTGCTGCCTGTAGTGGAATTTTTTCTTTCTAACTGCAGCCTTTTTTTGGGGGAAATTTAGGGGTTTGAGATGGTTAATTGTTGTTGAGCCCCATGCAAAAATTCCAAGGGAGATGGGGGTAAAATAAGGGTGATATGGGGCCCAGGAGGGCTGACTGTGGGCATAGTACCGATCTTTCGATATAGCCTACAGTTTGGGAAATTTCTTTAAAAATTTTTTGTATTGGTTTTTGAAATTTGAGTCTATTTTTCAAAGGGGACTCCTAAAGAATTTTCCCTCTGTTGTTTGTGATAGGTGTCCGTTTTCATTATGTTAAAAGGGACATCTGTAGCTCTGTTACCAAAATAATGAAGTAGGTTTTTTTATGTTAGTGTAAGTTTGTTTGTCCTCATTTAGGTAATATTTTTCTTAAATTTTTGGGATTTACATATTGGGTAGCGTGATGGGCTCGGGTGAGAGAAGACGTAGTTGGGATCTGCAAAAATTGGGTTTGATAAATTGCAAGCATTTGGTATCATTTTTTTATAGGAGAAAGAGAAAGGGCCCAAAGGGCCTTTTTCCCGTGGGCACCAACGTAAATTGTTGGCGAAGAGCTTGCCCCTTTTTCGCAATATTTGGCTTCTGTTGCTGAGGTATGACTTTAGTAGTTTTAGGGGAGTGCCCTCTTAACCATAAGTGACAATTTTACGTGGGGCAAGTCATGGGCAACTGTACAAAAGCTTTACGTAACCCAAAGAAGATCCCCATGGGGCTTCTTTTTTCCTATTGCAGTTATATATGTTCAGCATGTGTTAATAGCATCATTATAATTTTTTTTTAGGCCCCGAATCCCAAAATTGGGAGGGGGGTTTAGTATGTTTTTTGGGAGATGAGGAGGATGATTCGTTATGAATTTAATTTTTTGAAGATTTTGGAGAGGGGGGTAAATTGGAATTTTGGCCCATAGTTTTTAACTCTGTTTGGGGCTCCCCCCTTTCTGGATCGGGGGTACCCTTTCTATTTTGAGAACTGTAGGGGAAAGGGGGAGGATTCAATGGGGTTTTTAAAGATGTTGCAATGATTGGTGTGCACTTTTGACACTTTTTTGTATATAAAGGGTGGGAAATATTTTTAATCTCCTGCCTTGTTTTTTAGTGCGTTGATAATAAGGGAGACTTCGTATGGGTTAGTCGGAGCTAGGAACAGTGTGTTCGGGTAGTTGCCAGTGAGGTAGTCATTTGGTGGGGTATCTGAGCTTGGGATTTTATTGGCAAGGTTTTGTCCTATAGTGGAGAAGAAATCATTGAGTCTGTTTGCTGTTTCTGTTGGTGGGAGTTGGGGTTCATCTGATTTTGCTAATTTTATTTCGCTATTTCGTGATATCTTTTTTGTTCCCAGAATTTCTGATAGGGTTTTCCAGGTCTTTTTTATATCACCTCGTAAGTTGGATAATCTGTTCTCATAATACAATTTTTTTGCCCTTCTTATCAGGCTGGTTAGGATTGACGAGTAACGTTTTGTTTGGTCTCTGGTTATGTGACCCATTCTGTACTGTTTTTTATATCGGTGTTTTGTATTTATAGATTTGAGAATGCTGGGTGTTAGCCAGGGACTGTTCAGTCTCTTAGCTGTCATCTGTTTAGTTTTTTTAGGGCAGTGCTTGTTATAGAGGTATTGGGTCTTTTTTAGAAAATTATTAATACATTCATCAATATCTGTATAGATTCCTAGCTCAGTGTGCCAGTCAATGTTTGTTACTGCTAGAGTTCGTCACGGCCACTCTAGCTGGAGATTCGTCTGTAAAAACTTGCATTTGTGGTCACAGTGGTGCCTATGCTAACCTTCCTATGGTGTAGAAATATACCTAGTTGGACGAATCTTATTGTGGCTAGCTGGTCCAGTGGCTAACGCGACGGTCTGGAGTTTTGAGACTCTCTGACCGCGGGTTCAATCCCGGCCGGAACATGGTTTGTTTGCAATCGTGTCATTACGATTTCGTGAGACATAAGTTACTTCATAAGATAAGATAAGATTTCGTTCGGATTTTTAACCCCGGAGGGTTAGCCACCCAGGATAACCCAAGAAAGTCAGTGCGTCATCGAGGACTGTCTAACTTATTTCCATTGGGGTCCTTAATCTTGTCCCCCAGGATGCGACCCACACCAGTCGACTAACACCCAGGTACCTATTTGCTGCTAGGTGAACAGGACAATAGGTGTAAGGAAACGTGTCGAAATGTTTCCACCCGCCGGGAATCGAACCCGGGCCCTCCATGTGTGAAGCGGGAGCCTTAGCCACCAGGCCACCGGGCCCTCCTGAGGCACTCTTAAGAAAAAACAAAAGCATGTTTATTGAAGTTGAATGAAAACCTATTTATACCTTATAGGTTAGGTTTGGTAAGGTTTGACAGGAAACAATAAGTGTTTCCTAACGTGGGTTTTAGTTATATGATGACACGACACTGGAACCTTTGGTCATCTGGCCGAGGCCTTCCGCTGGATTACCCCTCCACCCCTTTGAAGGCTAAGGTTATGATTATAACCATTAAATAATGATATTATTGGTTGTATAACATATGTTGGGGGGCTATCCTAGGTAATTTGATCTATGTATGATTGTACTTGTATGTACCTGTACCTCAATAAATTTACTTATGGGTTGGCATGATTCGAGAAACTGTTCCTGAAAATAATTGCATTCATTGACAATTATAAGTAAACTAAAAACTATTTATTATTACCAATTTGAGCACACATACAGAGGTACAAAAAAAATACAGATAAGAGCAGCATGCCAAAGCATAATATACATTTAGATGAAGACAAATAAGAAACAGGTCTGTCTGGCGCTCAGCAGACGGAGGATCAAGCCTCCACCACGTCTTGCAGGGTTTAGCACTTAACGTGAATTATTTTATAATATTTTTTAGTGTGACTCACTATTTACTTGTTCATCCCGTGAAATAATACGATAACCGACCCATTAACCCAAGTTCAACACAGTATTAAGGATCAATTTAAAATAATTAATAAATACATACTTGCAATGATTATAATTAATTTTGTGTGCTGAATGATACAAAACTGAATTAAGGTAATAAGTAATCAGTAGAGAATAGGGAAAATTTGTTGAAATGAGCAGGAATATAATATGTGGATGAGTTGATGAGTCCCCGACGGTTCCCAGGACTCCGCCATTCCTGCTCTGGAGAAGCAAAATTAAAAACGTGTCAAGTATCGGAGTACAAACTTCATTATTCACCAGGAGGTGAACAACATCTTTCCCGGACAGGATGATGCATGAATATGCCAAAGACTATAAGCAGGAGTCGAGAACATCACCTGCCAAGCCATTCTTGGTGCGTAAATTCCGGACGTTGAAGGAAGTGTACGAGTGTCTGGAACAATACCAGAAGGAAACTGTCACTCACTTCATCAAGTACAATAAAGATAAGATTTTTGGAAATGAAGGTAATTTAGCTTCAAATGTAGATGTATGTGGATGGGATCCCAGTGAAAATAAGTCACTAACTGTTGAGTTAACTCTAGGTTTAATATTTATGATTTATTGCCTATATTAATTATTTGCTTATTACAGCCATAGTTTGAATGTATAATATTGTCTAAAACCACTTGTAGTTAACCTGAATAAAGCTTATCTTTGTTTTCTATTTTCTTGATGAGCTATGACTTTTCTGTACATGAGAAAAGTTGACAGACAATTTAACGAGTGAGACACTTTCAGCACTTGGGGTATCTTTATTGTTGAAATGTTTTGCCTATGCCTATACAGTAGGCCTCATCAATCAAATACAGAGAAGATTATGTCGTAGGCAGCAGGAGCAGTGGTGAGGTAAAGATAATGTAATCAGTCCACAAACCTTGGAGAAATACTTTTAATGTACAAACATACAGGATTTGGTATAGTTTAAACAAAATTAGTAATGGATGTACCTTAAATCTGAAGATAAACTGAGTGAATTTCTCAGTAAAATTATTTTTTCTTGATTGACCTTCCATACAGTTGGCCCAAAAACTGAAGCATATATTACACACAGTGGTGTACTATGACAAAAGAAATGCTGTACAATACATAAATATGAAAGATAAGTCTATTTAATATAAAGTATACTTCTGTATATATGTACCATGATCTTGGTACATAGCCACCTTGCTCTTATAATATTGAAGGACCCAGGAGCAACTACTGTGACATTTTTTATTGTGGAAACATTTTGTTCTCCAGGAGCTCTTGTTAACCCATTACCTTAACAAATATTGCCACAATAAAAATGTCACATTAATTGCACTTGTGTCCTTTTACCAAACATACTGTCAGCAATGCTGACAGTATGTTTGGTAAAAGGACTAACCTTGCTTTTAAAATGCCAGAGAAAATTATCATTCAGAATCTTTGGTATATTTTAGGTTATGATGGTGAGTTGCTGTTAAAGATTTACAGTATAATAGAATTTAGGTATTCTTAATGTAACTGCAATGGTAACAACTTTTGTCCTATAATATGATAATCTTTCCACAGATTACATACCAAATATTGAGAAGGGCCGCATTCATTACTGGTCTCACACGGGAAAATGTGGAGTTCCCATCGAGTATGATGGTGTGCCTTTTATGCATGTAGGGCGATGGGTTCTGATGTGTCATCAAGGGCAAGATACCAACAAGCGTCACAAGGAAAAATACCAAATGCGTAAACACAGAGAACAACAGGTTTGTTTTCAATTTATTTTTTGCTGCATTTGCATCTGCTGTGCTGTACATTCACAGAGAACATACCTGGAGTTTACTTGGAAAGGGTTTGGGGGGTCAATGCCCCCTGTGGCCTGGTCTGAGACCAGGCCTCATGGTGGATCAGGGTCTGATCAACCAGGCTGTTACTGCTGGCCGCATGCAAGCTGACGTACGAACCATAGCCCGGTTGGTCAGGTACTGACTTTAGATGCCTGTCCAGTGCCTTCTTGAAGACAGCCGATGGTCTATTGGTAATCCCCCTTATGTATGCTGGGAGGCAATTGAACAGTCTTGGGCCCCGGACACTTATTGTGTTGTCTCTCAGTGTGCTCGTGGCACCCCTGCTTTTCATCGGGGGAATGTTGCATTTCCTGCCAAGTCTTTTGCTTTCATGTGTAGTGATTTTCGTGTGCAAGTTTGGTACCAATCCCTCCAGGACCTTCCAAGTGTATATTATAGTGTATCTCTCTCTGCATTGTTCGAGGGAATACACGTCAAGGACCTTCAACTGTTCCCAGTAGTTTAGGTGCCTTATTGCACTTATGTGTGCTGTGAAAGTTCTTTGTACACTCTCCAGATCTGTAATGTCGCCAGCCTTGAAGGGGGCCGTTAGTGTACAGCAGTATTCCAGCCTAGAGAGCACAAGCAATTTGAAGAGAATCATCATGGGCTTGGCATCCTTAGTTTTGAAGGTTCTCACTATCCATCCTATCATTTTCCTAGCGGATGAGGTAGATACATTGTTGTGGTCTTTGAAAGCGAGATTCTCTGACATTATCACTCCTAGGTCCTTCACATTACTTTTCCGCTCTATTGTATGGTTAGAATTTGTGGTATACCTTGACACATTTTTTAATTTCTTCAAGTTTTCCATATCTGAGTAGTTGAAATTTCTCCTCATTGAACATTCTGTATATGACTTTCAGTTTGATATGCATCTTATTTTTATTGTACGAAGTTATTATTTTTGACTGTTAATTATTCAACAGTATGCTTTGGAATGATAAATTAGACATATGTGCAACACCTGGATATCTTTAATGAGGAAACGTTTCACCACACAGTGGCTTCATCAGTCCATACAAAGGAGAATGTTGAGGAACAGGAGGAGTTTGAGGTAATCAGTCCATCAATCTTGAAAAGAATACAGCATATGTGCAAAGAAGTGGCTTTTATACTGTAGGCAGGAGAGGTGCAGCAGTCGTAGGTGGTGTCACATTGGACAAATGTGGAAGTAGGTCATGCCTGAAGGTTAGGCAAGTGAAGAATTCCCTGTATTAAGATCCCAAGATGTTGCTGTGTCTGACAGAAATGTAGATGAATGGTTAAGAGAACTGACAAGTTGATTTTTTTTTTTTTTTTTTTTTTTGAGTATCACTGCAAGTCTGACATTGCTGTACCCTATTATATACAGCCTCTCCTCTCTTAACGATGGACTTCCATTCCTAAGACCACATCGGTAAATGAATTCCTTGTTAAGTGAGGAGTATACTATAATGGTAGTGGTTGTGTCAGCCATCTTTGATATTGTTTTAATGTCACCTTTGCACCATTTATAACATTTCTGGTATATTTTTAAATGTTTATACAGCAGTGTACTGTGTAAGCATACTGGTCAGAGAGCCCGTCGTAAGTCCGAGTCGTCAGTAAACGAGTATGTTGCTAAGCAATTGCAATTGAACTATCTGTAAATAACAATAAAAGGCACAATACCATGACTGGAACAATACACAAATAACCCGCACATAGAGGAGAGGAGCTTACAATGACTTTTCAGTCCGACTTTGATCATTTGCAAAGTCACACTAACAAAAAGGAGAGGAGGGAGTATATATAGGCCAGCAGACAGTGGTGTAGTAGTAGTGACTGAGGTAGTAATAGTAGTGGTGAAGTCAGTCAAATACTATGAAAGAAGAGAAATGCAAGGGAGCTAGGGGCCCACAGAGAGTAGGAGCAAGAACACAGAGGGGGTAAAAATAATGAAGGAACAAATAAACCATACCATGGGTGGGATTAGAACCCGCAGTCAGAGAGTCTCAAAACTTCAGACTGTCGCGTTAGCCACTGGGCCAGCTATCATGTCATTAAGATTTTGTGAGTCAAGTAAGGAATAAATAACCAAGGCAGAAGAAAGAAAACCCAAAGGAAAAAGAGGAAAGGGGAAGAGGGAGAAGAAGAAAAAAGGAATCAGGTTAAGTCACAGGTGTTCTGAAGTTTCGAGCATTTTACAATCTAGTGGGAAAGGAAGGCATCTACAGAGACAAAGCCAGGACTAAGATTCATACAAGGAAATTTGTATATAAGGGAGGATTCAACCAGACGGCGACTGTGAAAGTTGGAAGTAGGGTAGACAGTTTTAGCAGAAGACCAGTCAGTAGGATGACTGTGATCTCTGACGTGACAGAAGAGAGCATTGTTGGTGTCGGCAAGCCTAACACTATTTTTGTGCTCCTTAAGTCTGTCAGAAAGAGATCGGCCAGTTTCTCCAAAGTACTGAACAGGACAGGAGGAACAAGAAATAGAGTAGACACCAGGAACATCTATAGAGGGAGGAGAGGTATGAACTATATTAGTGTGAAGGGTGTTAGTCCGGCGGAAAGTAAGTTTGATGTCTAAGGAACGGAGAGAGTTGGTGATTAGAAAGACCGGAAATGTAGAGAAGGCTTTGTCTCTGTAGATTCCTTCCTTTCCAACTACATTGTAAAATGCTCCAAACTTCAGAATATCCTCTTCCCCTTTCCTCTTTCTCATTTGGGTTTTCTTTCTTCTGCCTTGGGTATTTGTTCCTCCATTATTTTTACCCCCTCTGTGTTCTTGCTCCTACCCTCTGTGGGCCCCTAGCTCTCTTGCAGTGCTCTTCTTTCTTAGTATTTGACTGACTTCACCACTACTATTACTACCTCCACCACTACTACCTGCTACCTCCACTACTACTAATACTTCCACCACCTCCACTACTACCTCTCTTGTCCCGTCCCTGTCTGCTGGCCTATATATACTCCTCTCCTTTTCGTTAGTGTGACTTTGTAAATGGTCCAAGTTGGACTGAAACGTTGTTGTAAGTTCCTCTCCTCTGTGTGCGGGTTATTTGTGTATTGAACACTCTAACAATTATTAGCTTGATCCATGCAAATCCTTTACTGCATAATGCAAATACTATTAAATGATGCAGTATAACCAGCGGTGAGAGTAGCCACTCTCATTGCTGAGGTCCAGGTAATAAACCCTGGAGATTAACATAAAAAAAAAAAAATTAGGAAGGTACACAGCCATACTGTGAGACCCACCACTAAGGTCATGATGGTTACCAGGTCAAACACTGTTTATTTAAGGAAGAGCCATATCCAATCTGTGAGATTCACCGTAGGGTCCTCACCTTCCCCGGATCAAACCTCATGATCGTTTCTCTTCCTTTGTCGTCTCCATGGTAGTCTGGCTAGACGAGTACTTCTTGTCTGGCTGTTCTATGTTTCCAGTGAGTCCAGGAAGTTGTAATTATAGGGCACAAATTTTTATATTATAAATCACCTCCGTAGCCCAGTCGGTAAAGCGTCTGGCTATAAATTTGAGGACAATGGTTCAAGCCACTTGTCAACCTTCCTGCTTATCAATCAACAGTTGTTGAATATAACTAAATTTGAAATAGTATACATGGCTAAAAACAAGACACAGAGTTAGAGCTATGAGAGTGATGGTGAAGATGACTTAAAAATTTTTTTTATATTAAATGACCAATGTAACTTGTCATAATAGTGAGGCATTCATACCTGTTTTTTAACTAGTGGCACATTTTGGGATTGTATATATAATGTAAGATCTTGCCTGGGATGTTATTGCTTATTTATTACAGATGCTTTTCACAAGTTCATTATATATGATTATGTGAATGAGTTTTTGATCTTGTGTATAGCCAGGTGAAACTGGACAGTTTTCACTTGGGGGGGGTGGGGGGTAGGAGTGTAAGCAATCTCTGCAATAGCGGGTCATGCGAAACACACGTCATAATTTTTAAGATGTCTAATGTTGTCCAGTCTCGGTAGGATGTGATGTATAGATTATCTCCAGCAGTGTAAAAAATCTGTCTGCAGGAGGGACCAATGTGTAAATTTATTTATTTTGGTAGGTTTATGTATATAGCATGTTTTAGGGTGATATATATTATAAGACGCTAATTACCATCAATGATTGTTGGTGGTTATGAGTGGTGATGGCAGACACAGTTACTAGGCATGTGGGAGGGGGGGTTGAAGTGTCAGCGGTAGTGTATTAAATCCACCACCGTGCACGATATTGATTATTACCATAGGGTATATGAGGGTTAGGATGTGGCTTGTGTTCTGTAGTGGATGTGTGCCATCATGTTCAGACATTCCTTGTATTATAGTCAGCCGTTTAGCTGGCTGGATTGTGTTTATATATTTTGTCATTGAAGTCCTTAATCTTATAAATGTATAAGAGATTTGTCACTGAGTATACTAAGGTGAAAGTGGCACATTTTCAAAGGGGGGGAGTGTAAGCATTACTAGGTAGGAATCTATCGTTTTTTATTAGACCATCTTTTCACTTGAAGCACAGTACGTATAAGCAGTGTTTGATTTGAGTGCAGCCAGTTCTGATGTCATTATATACGTGCTTCTTCGGTATTTGTGTAGTCACAGTTGATTATTGTTTACTTCCTGTATCTTGTTACATATTGATTATGTACCCATATATTTTGTACCTGAGTTTTAAATAAAATATATATAAAAAAAAAAAAAATTGTATGTCAAAAGCACCAGACTGGATCATGTTCATCTCTGGGATATTATGAAGGTTTGGACAATCTTCTAGATAGTAGGATGCATAAATCTGCACATAATACTTCCTGTAAGTGTGGAATAACCATTATAGAGTATGTATAGCCTTTTTGAGTGGTATGCAAGAACTGGTCATAATAATAATAATAATGTTTATTTCTACAAGTACAAGTGCAAGATATACAGGCCTATCTGACATCAATGATATACTACTATATAGCAAACCCCTTGTTATGCAGAGCATTTCAGGCAAATTAGGTCAGTTTTGTCCCAGGATGTGACCCACACCAGTCGACTAACACCCAGGTACCCATTTTACTGATGGGGAACAAGCCGGTGTAAAGAAACATGCCCAATGTTTGTACCCTTGCTGGAAATCGAACCCAGACCCTTGCCATGTAAAGTGAGAGCTTTAGCCACCAGGCCATGGGACACTGTGACTTAGTTTTGTGTAACCCCTGCTGTCAATGCTGTCCCTTGTAAATATGTATGAATTTTATACTGCTTATAGCAGTATAAAAGATGATGACATACAGACAAACCATTTTGTATTAATGTTGGTAGAATTACCAACAATATGTTAATATATTAAACAATATGTTAAATATGAGTGGTGCGTTGAGGTATATGTGGAGTCAAAAAACGTTATCTATGGAGGCAAAGAAGGGAATGTATGAAAGTATAGTAGTACCAACACTCTTATATGGATGTGAAGCTTGGGTGGTAAATGCAGCAGCGAGGAGACGGTTGGAGGCAGTGGAGATGTCCTGTCTAAGGGCAATGTGTGGTGTAAATATTATGCAGAAAATTCGGAGTGTGGAAATTAGGAGGTGTGGAGTTAATAAAAGCATTAGTCAGAGGGCAGAAGAGGGGTTGTTGAGGTGGTTTGGTCATTTAGAGAGAATGGATCAAAGTAGAATGACATGGAAAGCATATAAATCTATAGGGGAAGGAAAGAGGGGTAGGGGTCGTCCTCGAAAGGGTTGGAAAGAGGGGGTAAAGGAGGTTTTGTGGGCGAGGGGCTTGGACTTCCAGCAAGCGTGCATGAGCGTGTTAGATAGGAGTGAATGGAGACGAATGATACTTGGGACCTGACGATCTGTTGGAGTGTGAGCAGGGTAATATTTAGTGAAGGGATTCAGGGAAACCGGTTATTTTCATATAGTCGGACTTGAGTCCTGGAAATGGGAAGTACAATGCCTGCACTTTAAAGGAGGAGTTTGGGATATTGGCAGTTTGGAGGGATATGTTGTGTATCTTTATACGTATATGCTTCTAAACTGTTGTATTCTGAGCACCTCTGCAAAAGCAGTGATAATGTGTGAGTGTGGTGAAAGTGTTGAATGATGATGAAAGTATTTTCTTTTTGGGGATTTTCTTTCTTTTTTGGGTCACCCTGCCTCGGTGGGAGACGGCCAACTTGTTGAAAAAAAAAAAATGTTAAAGCTTGACAAAACTCCTGGAAAGTGAAACATTGCCACAATAAAATCTCACTTTAGTTGCACCTGTGTCCTTTTACCTAACACAAACCATTTTGTTAAGTGCAATTTACCACGACTACAAAATGAGTATTTCTGTGCAAACTGTTCAGTAAAGAATACAGTATAAGACATTGATGGGTATTTAAGGTAATGAATATTTTCTACTATGCTGTATATCATATATGTACAAATACATACAGTAACTAGGAAAGTCCCAAACTTGTGTATAAATTTCATTGTTACTTTCTCTGTAGGAGAGTGGAGTTATGCCGAAGAGCAGGAATCGTTCTCAGGTTACAAAGAAGGTGAATTGTCCTGCAGAAATCTATGTTACTCATATCATGAAATTTCCTCAGCATAAGGTGAGATTATTTAAATGTGTAGTTTAATTTCCTCAACATCAGTGCTAAAATTGTGCTAAAATTATAATACTGTGTGTATTATACAGTAAATTGATAGTATTATTACATTAGTAAGCAACGAGAAGTTTTTCATCAGGTGCCTAATGCTTTGCTGGCAATTAACTCTTTGCCAACTGACCACATGAGGAAATTAGCAAAGAAGAAAATTATCAACAGCTTCAGACGTTACTCTAACAGATTTATACGAGAGTCCTGGTACTATGTGCGATTACCTGATGCTACATCACATGAGGGACACCCAATTCTAGGACTGGTAAGTAAAGCATTTCACAAAACTCATTGCTTTGATATAAAATTTCACTACAGTGTTTGTCATGTACAGAATAGTTTGATTGCACTAATGGTAAGTAGGTGCTGTGATTCAATTATTAAGCTTTGGGGCTCATCGGTAGCTTATGTTTTACCTGAGAAAGTACTTGAAAATATGACATAATTAAGTATAGACAAATTAAGGATGAATTGTTCATGGAAATGTGGGAATAAGCATTATGAAGAATTTTATCAGGTATACAAATGTTTTAATTCTAGTTGCTGTATCCAAAATGTTAGTTAAGAATAAAAATGTATTATTTTGAAATTTTTGTCTGGTAATTTTTTAGCTATTTGTTTAACCCTTTGGCAGCTAACTTGGACTATAGTTGTAAAAATATTTAAATGATTTTAAGTGCAATATTCAACTTCAGTTTTTTCCTTTCCTGTAAAGTATTGTGATAGTTGTCAACTTTCCCCTGGTTGTACGATATTGATTTTTGTACATTTAATGAATTATGGTTTTCTTTGTATGTCTTATATTTTGACTAGTGCTGGATGGGACACCCACAAATAGATCCGAGATATTCGTTACTAGATACGTACAAAGAATTGTTGAAATTAGCAAATTTTAGCTATAATATATTTGTTTAATTTATAATTTTAATTTAATTTTAAACCAGTTATTTAAGAGGATTAATTTTAAACTACTCATGGGTAATCAGAATTGCTTATTAAAGATCTGCATTAAAACTCATTAAGGACATATGAAAATAATACTTGTACACTACAGATAAAGCAAGAACCAACACCTTTTAGTCTTCCTGCTGAGTGTACACTTGAAATTCCAAGTCAGTCTGATGCAGCAGTTGAAATTAAAAGAAAAAGACAATCAAAGGTATGTTTTGAATTGCACTGTAGCATTCTCAAGTCCATTTCTTACAACTAACATTTGTAGCCTGTGCTAAATTTTATGTTGATGTACATCAGTAAACTTAACATATCTAGTCAAGATTGAGGTGTCTTACATTATCAGTAGATGTGTTGTCATTTCTTTTTTAATTCTTATTATGGTATTATAGCCACACACACCCCCTGCTGTAATAATCAGACATATTATTCTTCTTTTCTTCTTTCAACAAACTGGCCATATCCCACCGAAGCAGGGTGGCCCAAAAAGAAAAACAAAACTTTCTCTTTTTAACTAGTAAAGTATACAGGAGAAGGGATTACTAGCCCCTTGTTCCCGGCATTTTAGTCACCTCTTATGGCACACATAGCTTCTGGAGGAAGAATTCTGTTCCACTTCCCCATCGAGAACATATTATTCGTGCTTAACCCTTTGACTGTTTACTTCGTATATATACGTCTTACGCGCCACTATTTCTGACGTATTTATACGCATAAATTGTAGCGGCTTCAAATCAAGCAGGAGAAAGCTGGTAGGCCCACATGTGAGAGAATGGGTCTGTGTGGTCAGTATGCACCACATATATTATAGAAATAGAGATGATTTTCATTACTTTCATGATGAAAACGACCTTGAAATTGAGTTCAAAGTAGCGTAAATGTTAGATTTTTACCAATGTTCAGGAGTAAGCAAATTACATCACATGTCCAATACACGTCAACTGGGGAGTCTAATATTCTTTCACTAGTGCACTGATATTATTTATATCATTTTTACAATAATGCATTAGTCTGCATAACAGTAAATTTTGTATTTTTTTGTATGAATAAAAAATCAATATAGAAAGCAATAGTAATATAAGAGGGGCCTAGAGACGTGACTAATGAACAGAGGATATGTTATTTTAGTGCCAAGAATGTCTACATTGTTTATTCTGGACCCTATTTTGAAATTGGCATCTTTTTTAATTTGCGTGAAATTGGCCAAATTGCCAATTTCTGACCACTTTATTGGGTAGTTCAAATCGGTAAATGGGCAGTTTCTTGTACTCATCTGATAGAAAAAATGGAGTTCTAAAGAAATAGCTATGAGTTTGGTCAACTGGAACAACGGAATTGGCCAAAAACAGGGCTCAAAGTCGGCGAAATTGCCGATGAGTATATGTCGCCGAGACTGCTAACTTCGCAGGAGCGTAATTCCGTGAGTTTTCAACCAAATTTCGTACTTTTGGTGTCATTACCATCGGGAAAAGATTCTCTATCATTTCATAAGAAAAAATAATTTTTTTTTTTTCCAAAATTTTTGTGACAATGAGTTTCAGAAAGGTGCTTGCGACAGTCAAAGGGTTAAAAAAAAAAAATACACATCTGGAAGTCTTCCCTTCAACTTTTTCCACTAATACATAGCCCAGCAAACTGCTGTCATTGTCCACTAAATCATATCTCGTATACAGTGGACCCCCGGTTAACGATATTTTTTCATTCCAGAAGTATGTTCAGGTGCCAGTACTGACCGAATTTGTTCCCATAAGGAATATTGTGAAGTAGATTAGTCCATTTCAGACCCCCAAACATACATGTACAAACGCACTTACATAAATACACTTACATAATTGGTCGCATTGGGAGGTGATCGTTATGCGGGGGTTCACTGTATTTATTTATCTTCATTTTCTTAATGTAAGTATTACCTGTTACTAAAACTCTTTTCCTACATAATTCATTTAGGCAACATTACCATTTGTACCTGGCACTCCATACTTACTTATTATGCACTCTACAACAGTCTTACACTTGAAAATTTAGGCCATGCAAAATAATTATTCTTTCAAAACTAAATATTTGCTGAACACCCACCTCTCAAAATCTCTCTACAGTCCTCTTGCTCCAGGTGTATAAATATTTACTATAACCACCTTTTCACATCTCATTGTTATCCTAATCAGCATAACCTTTGAATTTACACACTTAAATCATTTCCTTTCTTTGCACATTTGATCATAATAATATTGCCACTCTTTCTTTAGCTTTAGTTCTTTTAGCTGAACCCAATTTAATTCCACTTACTCCTCCAGAATGACATTCTCCCATCCTTTTTAGCTTTATTTCTTTATCAGTAATACAGCCATATACATTCAGACAACCTAACTTTAGATTCCTTCCTTTGTTTTTTTAAGCGATTGATTAAGAATGGGTTACTAGTTCCTTGCTCCTGGCATTTTATTCACCTTCTAAGATAGGCATTGCTTATAGAGGAAGGCTTCTTTAAATGTTTTTACACATGCATGCATGCATACATATTCACATGTATATGGTATATGCCTGCCAGATACAAGCACAGTAGTAGTTGCAAGATTTACATATCTTGCATGTTTCTGAGACAGGAAAAAAACAGCAAACTTGCCAGAGTAAAACATTTAGGATTTCTATTTCACACTCATTTGACAGGAGGTTAGTTCCACCCTGCGTAGTCTGTGTCTAACAGCCTACTACTGTACCTGTTTAATATTGTTTTGATTTTATTAATAATATAAAAAAAGAGTGTGAAGAAGAGAAATTTGAGCATTTGAAATAGTGAATATATTTTCAATAAAATTCTATGGTTAGTTTTCCTATGAGGCCCTGCAATAAAAACACTGAATAATAAAGTATTCAAAGTTAGAGTTTTACAGTTTTGTAAATTTGTAAATTTGACTGCTTGGGTCTAAAACTAAATATTAATTTAAGTAAGGTACATAGTACAATAATTTTGTAAAGCCACACAGCATTTTGAGTAAGTCTCAAGGTGGCTGCTCACTACTTCTATGTACATTGATTATAAGTTAATAACCAATTTTACTGATATTTTTCTGAGAATATCAAGACTATTGAGGTTTCTTAAATATAAAATGTCTAATCTGAGTCATAGATTTAATTTTTTTTTAATTTACAAAATGGATCTATTTATTCAGAACCCATTTTCTTCTTCTTTCAACAAACCGGCCTTATCCCACCAAAGCAGAGTGGCCCAAAATGGAAAAACGAAAGTTTCTCTTTTTAACTTTAGTAATATATACAGGAGAAGGGGTTACTATCCCCTTGCTCCCAGCATTTTAGTCGCTTCTTACAACACGCATGGCTTACAGAGGAAGCATTCTGATCCACTTCCCCATTTTCATTTCATTATTTTCCTATTTTTATATTTTGTTTTCTTTATATTTTGTCATTGACATTTATATATAAATTAAAGTTTTGCTTGTAAAACATTCCTCAAATATTGTTCCATATCACATGTACAATAATAAAACTAATTCAGATTGTCAGCATTGAGCTTGTGTTCTTTTGTGCAGAGCACAAAGTTCAGGACTAAAGAACCCGTGGATCCTAGAGTGCTACAAAAGATGTATGAGCTGACACGGCAAGGTGTATCAACAGTAAAAATGATGCAAGAGGCCATAGCAGAGTACGTACGAGAAGAACTGTTTCCAAGTGGTGAACCTCCTCCAACTATGTACCGCAGATATAATCCCACTTCCTCAGATATCCAAAATGCTATGTATAAGGTCAGTGATACATGTGATGATAAAAAATTTCCTTCGAGTTGTCCTACTGGGCATAATTAATAAAATTATTTACTTCACCTTCATTTTTTTTTATTATCACACTGGCCGATTCCCACCAAGGCAGGGTGGCCCGAAAAAGAAAAACTTTCACCATCATTCACTCCATCACTGTCTTGCCAGAAGGGTGCTTTACACTACAGTTTTTAAACTGCAACATTAAAACCCCTCCTTCAGAGTGCAGACACTGTACTTCCCATCTCCAGGACTCAAGTCCGGCCTGCCGGTTTCCCTGAACCCCTTCATAAATGTTACTTTGCTCACACTCCAACAGCACGTCAAGTATTAAAAACCATTTGTCTCCATTCACTCCTATCAAACACGCTCACGCATGCCTGCTGGAAGTCCAAGCCCCTCGCACACAAAACCTCCTTTACCCCCTCCCTCCAACCTTTCCTAGGCCGACCCCTACCCCGCCTTCCTTCCACTACAGACTGATACACTCTTGAAGTTATTCTGTTTCGCTCCATTCTCTCCACATGTCCGAACCACCTCAACAACCCTTCCTCAGCCCTCTGGACAACAGTTTTGGTAATCCCGCACCTCCTCCTAACTTCCAAACTACGAATTCTCTGCATTATATTCACACCACACATTGCTCTCAGACATGACATCTCCACTGCCTCCAGCCTTCTCCTCGCTGCAACATTCATCACCCATGCTTCACACCCATATAAGAGCGTTGGTAAAACTATGCTCTCATACATTCCCCTCTTTGCCTCCAAGGACAAAGTTCTTTGTCTCCACAGACTCCTAAGTGCACCACTCACCCTTTTCCCCTCATCAATTCTATGATTCACCTCATCTTTCATAGACCCATCCGCTGACACGTCCACTCCCAAATATCTGAATACATTCACCTCCTCCATACTCTCTCCCTCCAATCTGATATCCAATCTTTCATCACCTAATCTTTTTGTTATCCTTATAACCTTACTCTTTCCTGTATTCACTTTCAATTTTCTTCTTTTGCACACCCTACCAAATTCATCCACCAATCTCTGTAACTTCTCTTCAGAATCTCCCAAGAGCTTCATATGTTGCCTAATTTTTTTTATTTCATATTTCTTGCATTGGTGTTGTATTGATAGTCTCGGTTACTGGCCCTGACTTTCAACTACTCATCAATGGTCGCACACACTATTCTTGGCTTCATGGTTCCCATTATTTCTTTTTTAATTACATATGAAATCTGCTTCCATTATTTCCTTGTACAGATCATTCCACTTTCCAACCACTCTCATACTAAAGAAGTACTGAACTTCACATGAATCTGTAACTTCATTACTGTCCCTTGTCACTATTACCCTCTTTTCAGACAGTACCCCTGTGTACCCCTTCAAATCCTCCAAGTATCTTGCATGTCATATCATGTTTTCCCTTTCTCTTACTTTCACTGTAGTAAGGTATAGTTCCTATAGTCTTGTTTTCATAGGTATTCCTCCTGACTTTGAGACTAGTCTTATAAAATATCTGGACTTGTGTAGTTACTTGACATGTTTGTTGCATACTGTATAATAGTTCTGATGTATATCATATTCAGTGGTCTGAAGGAGACCATTGATGTACTTATATTCAATTCTAAAATTTATAGAATGTGCATACACCACCATGGTCATTCAACTGATGTGTGTGCCCTTTGTGGTATGATTGATGTTATGCTTACTCTGTTCTGTTTGTTGTCTTAGCTTTGTAAACTCTGTCTTCCCAGTCTGTTGTATCCCTGCAGTCTCCAGATCCTCTTACAGGACTCCTCTGCAGGATTGTGAGTTGAAAACTTTATGATCTCTACTTTCAAAAGAACACAGTATAGTGTTTGATAGATACTGTATTATCATTTTAAATATTTGGTCTGTTCTGTCTACAAATACTTTCCTGCTCCAGTGCATTTGTATATACTGTATATTTTTTTTATTAAGTGGCTGTCTCCCGCCAAGACAGGGTGACCCAAAATAGAAAACACATTTCTTCTTCTTTCAACAAACCAGCCATATCCCACCGAGGCAGGGTGACCCAAAAAGAAAAACAAAAGTTTCTCTTCAACTTTAGCAATGTATACAGGAGAAGGGGTTACTAACCCCTTGCTCCCAGCATTTTAGTTGCCTCTCACGACATGCATGGCTTACGGAGGAAGAATTCTGTCCCACTTCCCCATGGAGATACAAAATAAATAAGAACTTGTAAGAAAATAGAAGAAAACCCAGCGGGGTGTGTATACATATATATGCTTATACATGCATGTGTAGTGTGACCCAAGTGTAAGTAGAAGCAGCAAGTCGTATCTGAAATCCTGCATGTTTATGAGACAGAAGAAAGACACCAGCAACCCAACCATCATGTAAAACGATTACAGACTTTCATTTTACACTCACATGGCAGGACGGTAGTACCTCCCTGGGCAGTTGCTGTCTACAAACCTACTACCTTGGAGAAAACTCATTTACCAACACTTAATGAATCACCATCTTTCCGGAAGAGTGCTGACATCACAATCAAATTACCTGTGACTGTAACATCCTCGCCCCTCTGTCAGAGTGAAGGCACTGCTCTTCCAACTTCCAGGGCTCAAGTCTGGCTGACCAGTTTCCCTTGAATCCTTTCATAAGTGTTACGCTGCTCACACACTATCAGCATGTCCATTAAAAACCACTTGTCTCCATGCACTCCTATCTAACACACACAAGCTGGCTGTATGCTAAGTCCCCTAAAACCTGAAGCCTCTTGTACCACTCTGCCTCCAGTCATTCTTGGGATGACCCCCTTTCCCTTATACCTTCCACCCCAGATTTATATACCCTGTTCGTCATCCTATCCCTCTCCATCCTCTCTGTATGCCCAAACCACTTCAATAACCTCCTCCCCAGCTCTGAATTATACCTTTAGGCAGCCCATATCGCATTTTAATTTCTACACTCCTAATTATACCTTTAGGCAGCCCATATCACCTTTTAATTTCTACACTCCTAATTCTCTGCATTATATTCACACTACACATTGCTCTTAATCAAGATATCTCTGCTGTCTCTAGCCTCCTTTTCACTGCAGCATTCAAAAGCCATCCCTCACACCCAAATAAGTATTGATACCACTATACTCGGGTATTCCCCCCCCCTCTTTTTCCCCCCATTGAACTTTTCTTTCCATTCCACCTCAACACACCACCCACCTTTTTCCCCCTCATCTCTTCTGTGATTCACTACATCTTTCATACCCATCTGCCTACTCCCAAATATTTACTGGAATCATACAATTTTCTTTCTTTTGGAAATTTTTGGCTCCTGGTAAATTTTTTTTTATCAGATTTGTGGCATGGTACCATATAATGTGGCTGCAATTGCAAAAAATATGCAACCATGTTGATTAATTTATTTGCATGTATAATTTTGTAGGGTTGTTTGTCAGTTTTAATAACAGGTGTATAATGTATTGTTTGTGGTGTTTAGAATCTTTGAAAGTTGGCTCACCAGTTTCCTTTGAGATGCTTTTACTTTTGTTAAGGACAAAATCACCCTCTTGCTTCTAGGTTTTTAACTTGTTTTATTTCAGGTTTACATAGTATTTAATGTTATTATTATTATTATAATCAAAAAGAAGCGCTAAGCCACAAGGGCTATACAGCAGTATTTAATGTTGATCTGGCTCACTTTACTATTAATCAGGGACCTGAAAACTACAAGTTATAGCACACCTGCTTTAAAGCTCAAGAATTAACTGGATCTGTTGAAGATTACATTTCTTGCATGCAAGGATGATATTTAAGAGGCTTACATTAACATTGTCAGACATTTGTAACTTTGTCACCAGATCCTTTTCTAACAGCATTTAATTTTCATTTAAAATATAATTAAAAGTTTTTTTGTAAACCAGCTTTTTCAAAATTGTCCTTGTTCTCTCCTTTACACTTTGTACATCTCCAAAGATTCACATTTCAACAATTCAGTTAAAATATACAAGGAGCCCTCAATGAAAATGAGTCACACTGACTTGATTGGCTTATCCTCAGTTAAATTTCCAGTCTGCCATTAATATTTGCCTATAGCAATTATTTCTGTTGGAACCATTGTAATGTGTCTAAATCTGTATGTAGATTTCTTGAATAAAACTTACCTTGACAAGAAGCATTCTTGCAATTTTAGAGACATTTTGTCTTATGCCAAGTCAGTCATTTTCATTTAATTAAATCTCAATCAAAGTTCAAGTTCTTGTTTCTGAAAAACAGAACTCATTTCATTACAATCTAAATCCTTACAAGAAAAGTTTCTTATTCACATTTGCCCAGAGGATATGCATCTTTGCTTATCTGTATTTACTTTCAGAGGAAGAAAATATGAAATTAAGAAAAAAAAAGGCCAACTGTTCCTTGGTGTCTTTATTTATTAAGAGATACGTTTCTGAAATTGCCATCCAAATGAAGTACATTGCCTTCAGGAGTTAAAGGCAAGTCTGTTAATGCAGGTTCTCCCACCTTTCCCTGTAAAACTGGAGTGAAGTATTGGCTGAGGATTATGGTGACACTCATACTCTTGAATCAGGCTTATTAGATTCTTTTATGGCTATATGGAGCTTGAGGTATCTATTCTTCCCATGAACTTCTTGGTAGTCTTGTCAAAGGTCAGTTGAAAGCTTTGAAATACCTCTTAGTAGCAAGATTGAGTTCAGAATGTGAGAGGAGCAGTTCAGAGTTTTTTGGTGTCTTTATTTACAGTTACAGCCAGACTACCATAATTTTTTAAAAGTTAATTCTAGAGGCTAAGAGCTCTTACCTTACCTCAACTTTTTTCAAAACTCAGCCTTGTCTGTGGCATACTATAACCCTTAGAATGTGACCACAATAATTGACTAGCAGCTAGGGGCAGCATGTGTAAGGAGATTTGGCTATTACCACATGGAAATTGAACTAGTGCCCTTTAGGTTGGGAGCTGAGCATACTACCATTGAGCTAC